TATTAGTTCTGTATAACACTATTAGACATCTACAGACCGCCTGTCGACGACAAACTCCGTCCATTACAATGGTACCAAAAACAGGGGTCTGTCCGCCTAGGCCGCTAAGCAGGAGTCTGGAGCCGACTGAGGCAGCTAGGGTGCACGACAGAATCTGCTAGTGTTTAAGACCAAGAGAAGACTGCTGTTAAAACGCTAACAAACTAGCAAGATCAGTCTGGCGTCACATTTGGGTTTTGCTACATGTGATGAGGGCGCCACCCTGTGACTTTGCGGTGCGCCGATGTGAGATAGCAAAAGAGACAATCCCCTACAGGAAGGGGATTCTACGTAACCGAAGGGGCCAAACAAAAGCTTGATGTCGTCCAGACAATATTCGTGTTGTACGGTAGAGTTACCATCGTTACACCGGCAAGGCTATGCACCGATAACTGCGTCGTCGTTACCGACGGCGACAGCCACAACAATAAAAAAGTGGCAACAAAGGTCCATGACTTCTCATACGGTGTCAACTGATTTTTGCCTTTTTTCTATCCTCAATATGCACAGATATGTTCCCATATGTGGCACGTGATAGATCGAACAGCTAGCCTATTTGGGTTTAACACGGCACTGACTACGACCAAGTTGTCCTGCTACAAGGACTAGTTTATCTGCTCTAGTATTATGATACTACTACCGCAATAACGTTAACTGGGCCATCAGTAGCAGAAGTAGGTAGAGCGCCATTAGCGGGCTTCGCCTTTTGAATGTTTTTCTACTAAGTACATTTTATTTTGCCTGCGTAGGGTATAATGGGCTAATTATATTTATAATAGAGGGGACATAGAACAACAGCCAGTGGCCCCTAATAGCTTTAGCCCAATAGGCTCTTCAAGTTTAAACAAAATTTTTTCAGGCAATACACATTAAGCACACTTATTCCTGCAACACAATTTCAAAATATCAATTTCTGTGTCTGAACATCGGCTGATATCAGCTCGAACAATACTGGTGTTGGGAAAACGATGTTGGGACGTTGTTTTCAAGCGAAAAAAAATTCGAAACATTGCCCTTTGCAAAAGAAAAACATGCACGTTATCTTTAGGGGCAAAAATATCCGTGCCTATATATATATATATTATATATATATATATATAATATTCTAGCGACTATAAGTCAACCTCTGAAGGATAGATAGATACACAGAGATATAGATATAGATAGATAGATACATTGATAGATAGACAGATATATAGATAGATACATAGATAGATAGATACATAGATAGATAGATACATAGATAGATACATACATAGATATAGTTGATAACCAGACCGCCATGGCATTGTTCTTAAGGACTATAGATAGATACATAGATAAATAGATACATGGATAGATACATAGATAGGTAGATACATAGATAGATAGATATAGTTGGCGACCAGACCGCCATGGCATTGTTCTTAAGAACTACCTTTTTTGCTGTCCTTCTGGCGAATACAAGGCATCAACACACTCTGAAGTAACGAGTTGATGTGGTTTCTTGGCAGGACCCGAATCTCATCAGGCACTGAGGTTAAATCTAAACAGGCGCCGGCGCGAGATACTACTTAGTGAGCTGTCGAACTATTCGTTGCGCGGACATGCGATTCCAAACCGCGTCTATACGGTTTGAGCTTTGCGAGAAAGCACGCTGTGAACAATGCGCCTGATCTGAATAGAGTTGAGCAGAGGTTCCAGTCTGTCGATCCCACCAACTGCAGCGCCTTGGATAGCTTACACAGGTTCCGCCTACTTGCTTCTCTCTGAACCATTATCTGCCTACTAGTGGTCTTTGGGCTCATGTACTGGTAAAATGTACTGAGTGTTATGTGTCCCCAAGAAGGACGTGATACTATACCGTACTTGTCATTATTTTTGTTCTGCTTCTGGTTCTCGAGCGCCGGCTACATGTCTGCGATCACTTCTGGCAATGCGAACAAGTTCCCTATCACATAGATGTATGAATTCCACAAACTATCCTTCAACATTCCATTATGAAGATCATATATTTACTCGAATATTCGAAGTAAGCAGAATTGGCAGTTAGGTTGAACATGTATGGTAGGCCGCAACATCGGAAACAGAGGGTTGCGAACTGTCAAAAGGATTTAGCTTACACCTCAGGCACAGATTCCGAACGATTACTATTTACGTAAAGCGTCTGTAGCAGAAGAATGGTTTCAAACTGCTGTATCACTCGTTGCAAGTTTGTTTAATACTCATGCGCACAGCAGCATAAAGGCAAACTTTGGTAACCGAAAGCGATTTCTGTCTACGTATGCCCTAGCAGCTCTCGGTTAGACAAGCTTGAAGACAGAGCTTCTTCCGTTGCTTATACGCAATTTCACGAAAAGCATAAGTTCTAAACATAGCAGCTATTGAGCACGATTTTAAAACTATTGCTATCACAGGCACATCATAGGCGCTTTTTACAGGGAACATAGTTTTACAAGAAAAAAAAAGTGATAGTAGGTCTGGGTTGATAGGGGTCGCTTTGTCTCATTTCCGCGAGGAGAAGCCCACACTATACAGATGGTTCATTCTTATGACAAAAGCCCTCCATTTGTCTGAAGATATAGCCAATTAGTCAATCAAAGAATTAGTAAATCTGATTGATGAAATTGTATGCCCCTATAATGCACTCAGGTATTGAATTGACTGTCTCACAACGAAGTTCTGCCCTTAGTCAGACGCTTGACAAAAGGCCGAATAGGAGCATAACATATGGGTACCGAGTATAATCATTCGTCTAGATTATAATCTTGTAGTACGGCCCTGTACAGACGCCTAACTAGTACTTGTACAACATTTTCGCTTCCCGAGGTCATCTAGCAGGACTGTATCATAATCAGTCTTACATTAGCGTGGACTGTATAGTAGAGAGACATAATTGTTCGCTCTGTAAAGACGAACCGTTTCGATCTATTTAAACATTGTATAGCCTGCTCTGAGGGCGTTACCTCGGTAGGGAGTAAATGCTTTTTGTTGTGGGCCGACTTAGATTAGGTGTCACCACGCCGCCGCTATGACTAATCCGTTCGGCTGTTGCTTGACTCGCTATAACCATTGACGTCATGACACAACGAGTTCCTTCACAACTCGGAACTGTAGACTATATTGATTTGTAATTTGGGTGCTACATTAACGGTGATCAAGCCAGACGGGAAATAGTCTGTTCTGTAAATGACTTTGTCCTAATCACTGCATCCTATTTAAAATGTATCTAAGGGCAAAATGCTGTTTTACTTTTCTTTACGGTCGGCAAGACAGCTAGATCCGTATGTATTTCCTTCCTCAATCTCAATCCAACTATTGTTCAACATGGAGACGATCCGAGGAAGTTTACGATCGGCAAATAATTTACTCAATAAATGCTTGTCACTTTTTTTGTCACGGTATTGATTAACTGCTGGCACACAAGATATTTCGACTGATCGAAGCTTCTGGTCTGACGATTGGTAATTGCATACGGATTACCTCTGGGTGCAATTTGTCAACGCATCACTCAACGGTTTAGGTCACAGCATCGCACGCTTACACGATGCTCCACTACATCTCATCGCTACATCCAAATTAATTAGTATCAAATGAGGCAAAGCGCCCAGTTGCGGTCACTGGATTGCAGAGACCATCTGATGATTCCCGTAGTAGTCATCAGTAGTACAGACATACTCATGGGTAAATATTGGCAGATAATCTTGACACTGCTGCGGGTGTGTAGATCATCCAACCTTGCCCCAGCGAGAAATCCTGATGGTAATTAGAATGAAAAAGGAAAGCAAAAATTACTGGCATATTGCTATGGTTTATAACCATACTACGACGTAGCCCGTTATAACAGACCAATGGAAAGACGACGATTTTCAGATTGCTCAGATTACGACACGATTTTTCAGATTACGACAAAAAATATTATTATAAGTTGCTCTATGTAATATTGTTAAATTCTAATTGTTAATTGTTTATCTAATCTGTTCAGGCATCATTGTGTCCTTCACATAAATAGAACGACTGAAGCATTTATGACTATTGCCGCTGGTTATATTGAAATTCTATTCGCAATTTAAAATTTTATAGATATGCCCTGTCACGCCCTCTAGCGTCAATTCTTGGAAAACAGCTTCCTTTCTCATTGAGTTTATGAGCAGCTACCACTGTTTGTCTAGAAGGAAACAGGCAAATTCAGAAATTCGGTCTCTACACACGAACGGAGTGCGATAAAAATCGGTTCACCTCAAAGCGACATCGTCCTGGGTCTGCGCTCGTCTTGTCTGTTATACATGTTAAAAGGTAACTTACCTACCGATGGCAAACTTATACCAAACGCTCCCTGCCGGTTCATGTTCAAACAGGCTAAGTAGGCCCAAGTAGAAAAACCACATGTTTCATTAACGCTCTTCAAGCTGTTGGTGCTTTTTTTAAATATAAGTACGTACACGCTGAGCTGTATCGTCAATAAAGGAAAATAGGCAATGATGATGAATACGAGCACTGCTTTGGAATAAAACGAATAGCTTTAGACTGGGCCCAAAGTGAATGGGAAAATTTCACAGCTGTGGAAGACAATAAGATATTCTGGCTCTATTGGATAATTTGGTCTTTCGCCTAGGCGAAAACATTTTGTGTGTGTACCTTGTAACTAGGGAACAAACATAGATTTCCGACAATAGATTGATTTAGCTCAATATAATTTCTAAGTAAGTCTAACGTTTCTTAGATGAGTGAGTTGAACGAAAACTGGCTAACGTGTGCGGCTAGCGTGGCGTAACGTACTGGCTTTAACCATCGTTTGCTTAATCGCTTAGTGTAAAAATTAATTCGAGCAGAATCCTCCGTTAATATAGAAGATAGGGATTCGCGCGTATGGATTATGTAATTGTTTAGAAAAATTGGATGACATTCCTAACTGCATCAGTTAACTAGCAAATAATAGATTCTGATTTTTCTCACTTATTTTAGTCAGATTGTGCACGTACCTTCGATAGCGGCAAATAGACAGGATAGGGTAATCAAAAAGGACTTCATCCTTTTGACTTCTGTCTTCTCTAGACTCCGCTACCGCGAGCTTCGGCGATTCATTAACTAGATCCTAACTTTATCCTTCGAGGATTGCAAAGAGCAATAATTAAGCACAATGCAGGCGGACCATGCAACATCCATACAAAAGGTAACCCGACAACTTCACAGTTCTTCAACTGGCATACCAACTTAACGCTGCTTTTCACTTGTACAACTTGCTCAACTTGTCATCAGTGGACCGCTCGCCCAGGTGCGTGAGCATGAGTAAATCTCGAGGACTGACGTTCGACCACTTCGGAAGTCCAATCTTGTCTGACATTTAACTTGTTTCGCACTCTCTTTAGTAGTCCCAGCACTGGCAGTAGTAATCAGCACTCGGATTTTCCATACGCACGCCCGGTCTCGCTTATCCAGTAGCTTACCGGCAGACCTGCTGGTGTTCGGTATGCCGGCCTACGCTGCTGAGCCGACAGGAGAGAAGAACTCGGCGCCAGGAAAGGAGGTTCGTCTTCCCGCAGCTGCAGTCCCGTTCGATCAGTTAGGCTCACTGCCGTAGAATCGCAGTGAGCAGCAGGCACCACGGCGGCAGAAGCGGCACTGGCGGCTCAAGCATCAGTCTGATGATAGACAGACTTAGCTGCCGACTGGCGATTGCTGGAGATGACCGCGCACAATTGCCGTCCTACCCAGCTCCCTACCTCGTTGTATGCCTGTCTGCTCCACTGCCTCTGAGTGACTGCTCGCTGGTGAATCTACCGGCGGTAGATCGCTGTCTGCTGCCACTTCTGCTGCTGATGATGACGGTGGGGCGGCTATCCAAGTCTGAAGCCAGCCGATCTCATCGCTCGAGATTCGATCGGCGGACACGGTCCAGTCTGGCGACGGCACCAGGCGTAGCCGCAGCGGCTGCTGTACTGTGTGCTTGTAGTCTCCTTTCAAGTATTCCTTCACATGACCTTTCTTCGCCTTCTTCAAGCTGACTCTTTAGCGATGGGGAAGAAAACCAACTTTTTCGCGTGTAGAGCTTTGGTGGCTCCGATGCCTATTTGTTTAATCCCGGTCTGTCTCCATACGTCGTCCGGTCGCACTGACTAGACGCTATCGACGACTGCGATCGTCAATGCCGCACAAAAACAAATCGGCATAAAGATAGAAAGAAACATAGATAATAGCTTAGAATGCAGGCAAGAAAGGCGGCAACAAGCCAGACAAGTTTAGAGATAGTGGATTGATGACGCGCAGTCGGCAAATGCGCTGCATCTTAGAAGTTTGTTCGTTGTTCAAGTATTTTCTGTAGATGGATCGTCAAGCAAATGGCAAGGCTAGTAAAGCGGATCCCTGCGACGGTGCCGAAGACCATTTCCATCTGGACTTAGACGGATGACCTTACCGACAAGAAGAAAAAAGGGTGTGCGGACCACTTCAGTGACGCACTTCCGTGCTTCTGCCGTGACCAGCCGCCGTAAAAGACGTCAGTGAGAAGCTACTTGACAATTATCATCTTCCTAGAGAATCATTCTGAAGGCTATCAACATCGACATTGTCTACTAACAAGTCTTTTTTAAAAATGATACGTATCAAGTCGTCTCGTAGGGTTCATGCGGCGATGGTTGTGATACGGATGGCTACGGTGTTTAATGAAGGCGACCGCCGAGGGTCGTGATTAGCGAAGCGCGCAGTGCTTCAGAATACCTCAGCTCACTTCAGGGGCACGATGGAGAAGACGGGTCGACTCAAAGTCTGCTGAAACCCTCAAATCTGCCGCCCGGTGGAGTAAAAGCAGCAGCCCATAGAAATAGCGGCGCTGTTGCTGATGAGTAATTCGAAACTGTATAAGTATGCGACAATAGGTAGAAGGCAGAAAAAGCGCAGACAGAGACCAGCAATATGAGGAGCTAGGAAAGAAAAAATGGCGACCTGGCAGTAGGGAAAATCTACCTACCTACCTCGAAGACTATTGAAGCTGAGAATTAAGTGAAAAGAAAGCAGTACAGCCGGGAGGTCGATTCGAGGCGGTGCCGCTTATTAATCAAGTGGTCAATTGCTTACTTAAGACAGTATTATGCTTGACGTTCACCATTGCCTGCGTTCATTGTGCACTTTCAGAGCAAACAAAACAAGCTGTACCAGAAAGCCAAGCTCGTACGAGGAGCATGGTAACCGTACACACATGGCAACGACATTCGGGGAGGCGTGCAGGGAGTTGCAATCATGCAGAGGTTAGAAGCTGCTGCAAGCTCCCGTAGCCTTACTAAACCTTAAAAGGGCTTTTTGACCGGCACATAAGTCGCGTAGATCAAATTGTCAACTATCTACTGCATCTACTCTATGATCTATTAACTTAAATAATTCTAATTGATTTTTGGAACGTTTTTTTCATGGAGCGTAATGTTAGTTTAATTAATCATTAACCGAAATCAACAACTTCTTTCATTTTGTTTTCACGTTTATAAATACCGCCGCATCACTGTTTACGAACACCAGCGTCATCGATGCGTAGTTAAATAACAAAACAAGCGCGGGAAGAAGCCCTGGTTTACTTATATTACTATCTCCTGTACCATAAAAGTCTCGGGGAGTATCTTTATCCAAAGCAAGATGCACCCTCAGAGTGCACGAATCACCGGGCAGGTTCTTTGGATCGTTTCAGGCACCTTATGAAAAGATCTTCGCGGAACAAGAAGCCAATTCAGCAGTTAACTTTGCCCGCAGAAGGAAAAGTGTGTTCCCTACAGAGCATAACGTTATTGCACTGCATGCGACCACATCTCGTGACAACTACGTTGTTATCGTGCTGCACCCCTCTGTTCCAGCTGTGGCACGTCAACATTATAGTGCGGCACCCAGGCTCGACAAACGAACCATCGGTACCGTGCTGGGTCAATCTCCCCATTCAGCCATGCCCAAACGACGCTGCTTGAAAACTGACGGCCGTGTTACAGAATCTTAGAAGTATCGTAACGAGATAACCATAAAAGTATAACTTCTATCTGGCTAGATGTTACGCGAATTAAATTCACTTATGTTAGAACAGTTTAGTATATATTTACTTAAGCAAGTTTAGAACGTCGTTAAGCGTTTAGCTCTAGGCTTCGTTATCGGTCATGGCACAACATAATTATGTGGGAAATAGGCTTCGGCCTAAAGGGCCCGATAATACAGAATGACTGCTATTGCTGTATACTATAACTTAAGCTAGGCGTGGTGTAAAATAAACAAATCAAAGAAGTAGATCAACCAACTCAAAAAGGGTGCCGAATAAAGCCCGCAGGTCCGTCTAGCTCTCAAATACCTTTAGATCAGATTGAACGATTATAATAAAACCTTCGTCAATGCCGACGCAACACATTTCAGAGTTTCAAGCTTTTTGGACTCCCACGGCGTCTAAACAATGGATCGCGTACCATCCTCATGTATAATTCTGATTTCCTTAATTCTGCAACAAAACCAGGCTCGCTGTTCACGAATTGCATCCTTACCTCATTGCCACGAAAATTGCCTCAAGCAGATTCCAAGGTTATATCGCTGCCGAGAACTACTTACGCACTTTCCCACGATGCAGACGTTCCTCTAGGCCGGAGCCTATTTCCCACATAATTATGTTGTGACGAAGCCTAGAGTTAAACGCTTGACGACGTTTTAAACTTGCTTAAGAAAGCTATTTTTAACCGCGGTCAAGCGAGCGTTACGTTGAGTCATACTAGGCTGCCAACCACAGCAAAGTACTGAAAGCACATGTTCGAAATATCGTTACACATATTGTAATATACGGAACTACAATGCGCACTGCAATGACCTGCCACACGCGTTTTTGCCACGGCCACCTATAGTCCACATATTTGCCCCCAACCTCTGCACAAGGCCCTATGTTCATCACGGGTCTTATTGTTCATATACGTAACGTCCCGATTTTACAATGTCCCTAGAGGTTCTTACCGTCTTGCATGCAAAACTATATACCGCTTTTTATATAATTATATAATCGCTTCTGCCACTTCAATAAAACAAATGTTAGCTACATATCTCCTACGGGGAAGATGAAACTAACGCCACACCAAATACAACGATCTGATAGAAAATCTATTCTAGCCAAAGGTAAAGAATATATATATAGAAAATTAATTTTGATTATAATAACTGAGTATCATATGAATTGAAGTACCACGCAAAAGTGTAAAGATAATCAACTGGAACTTATATAGCTATAATGTTAATACACGGCGAGCAAACGATGAGTTACCATGAAGTGAGATTGAAGTGAGAAATACGATGTGTCTTCCCAGTCTACATATATATATAGTCTGTAATGAACCGATCCTTTTATCGATCCTTTTATGATCCAAGTATCGGTTAGCTGTCAATCATATGATTGCATAATTATTGAGAAGTTGTACTAATTTCACACTGAGTTTATAATTTAACGAAATTTCGGGAACCCACGGTTCTCTTCCATATTTTGTTAAAATAGTTCAGTAACATAAATAAGCTCATATATGACAGACTTCATAGTAATATATATGGCTTTTACTACGCTGAATTTCGTACATATGTTCCTATTATTATAATAAAGATACATGGCGGTTAGTATTTGCACAAAATTAGCAGTGAATGTCGTTGTGTAGTTGGGTGTAGAACGTCTCTAAAGTAAAACTCAACTGATTTCCTGTCTGAGATAGTAAGTGAGTGAATGCATTTTCGGATCTAGAACCAATTAAATTAGCGGTAAATGAAGACATGTAGAGGTACAATGTTTATTGTTTACTTCCAATGGTTTCTGCAAACTGCAAAGTTTACAAATGCAGACGATATCGGTCAAAATGCAATCTTAACATTTTTCCTGGAATGATGTCACTCTGACTTAGCCAAGTAAAATTGCACCCAGCTGCTCGTTCAGTGGCTGATCACGGAGCTTTCACAACGTCCAGTCAGATCGATCTGCTTAACACGCTTCGTGCGACATCTAAAAGGCCGCTACGAAAGCGTGATAATGAACGAGATGCTAAAAGTATGTATGCTACGTTCGAATGGCACTTCGCTTGGGTTGCTACGTCCGTTATCCATTGCAACGCAGATTAAAATACGCGATTTGCCTTGTACGTATTCACGAGGCATAGCTTGAGTCAGTCTTAGTCAGACTGAATGTAAACAAACAGTAGCCTTTGGTCTTTAAGTTGTTTTGAAGATGACGGTGTATTACGTCCTTTAAGAATACAGATACAAAGCTCTTAAAAAGTCGTACAATGAGAACCTTTCATTTGCCCAAGCAACAACTGCTCACCTATAAAATATACCAACAAGACAGCTTCAATACTAGCGTTTATCAAAGATTCGAGGAATATTATATATATATATATATATATATATATAATTTGACTAATGCACGGTCGTAAAAAATATATCCACATGAATCAGCTCGTTAAGTTATCATCAATGTCATTATCCCCAAATTGAGAGGACTCATAACAAAGTACCTCGGGCTTTCATGATTTATATGTTGTGGAGATGAATATAGCAAATAGACATAGTAAACGTTAATCAAAAACCAAAAACGAACTATTTTGGCGAATTACTGTTAACTGTAAAAGTCACTAACAATAAGTGATTATAGATATGGCGACGCGGCGATATGGAGCAAGATAACAAAATATCGGCAGTCGGCTGAATAGTTGCTAGCAATTTAATTGGTCGCTCTTTCCTTGAATAACGTCACTAATCTGGCACGGTCTAATAGTCATCCTCCGTGGCTCTCCCTGCTGTTGACAACTTGAATGCCATCGCCAGCTCGCGATCTCGACGTCAGCGAGGCTCAGGCGAGGCTGATCGGATTTCCCCCAAAATGGCCCCACAACCGTTCATAGCTTGTTTTATATACGGAGCAGTCGTCTGTCTGTCTGTCTATCAACAGACCCTCGTTAGCAAGAGAATTCAAACTCTCGTTTTAGCGAGGCTTTTTAAAATTGTCGCTCTGCTCAACATGTAGTGCTATCACAGCGCAACATCATCACATCTTCATCAGTCCGATAAATGCGCGTCTGTCCGGCACGCTGGCGCCAGATTTTTCTACTGTCTGCTGCGTTCTCTACCAGTCCACTTCGTGTCTTCAACCACTTCCTAATTGATCCTGCCTTCCTTGACGAACCTGAATGTGTATCAAGCTCAAACGTACCGGCGGGTCCTAAAATCACAATCTTCATCGGCTGTGCCGGCATTCTGTCGTAAATTAGAGATCGAAATATCTACGAACTCAGGCAACCATTCCAGATAATACCAATGTTTTTTTTTTTATTTTAGTGACAAGAAGCACTTTGTCTTTCCAAGTTTTCTAGGTCGACTGCTTAAGTCTTAATGCAACCATTAGAACGTTGTCGTTATCGTGGTACTGCAAATTTTCCTACTCTCTTGTGTACTCGATTTTTGTTTGGTAGATCCAAAATCTCTATACACAGAGTTTTACGTTGGGTATTGCCGGTGGGCCTTCCATCCGATCCAAAGTCTAACGTCGTCTAACACGGCGCCTACCGGCTTCGTATGAATCGTCAAGCCTATCAACAAAAAATAACCTGCTCTTCACCAGCTTTTGCTGTGACTGCTTCGCATTCGGGAGTTACGGAATCTACGCAGGCAAAACTCCTAGTCAACGGGCTGAGACCCTAGAGGTTGTGTGCGCATCCGTTGTCCTTTTGTTTCTAAGTCATCCCCTCCATTTGTCACTCTGTTAGTCTCCCCCTCTCCTCTCTCTCTCTCTCTCTCTCTCTCTCTCTCTCTCTCTCTCTCTCTCTCTTTTGTTTCATCAAAGACTGGCCTATCTACTCACAAATCTAGCAGTCTAAACTCAACGGGCGCCACAAACGAGGTTGGCGCCGGTCGGAAGGTGAGTCGGGACTCGTAGATCTTCCTTCGTCTAGCAGCTCTGAGATCAGTAACTCGAATATACGAATCGCAAAAGGGGGCTGATGGCCCCCCTGGCGTTAGTTCAGCTAGCAATAATGAGGGGCAGCCCACTACCGGCTATTTGCTGCTCTTCTTCTTTGTCTGCTCAAAATGATATGGAAGGAAAGTGGGTTTGTTTAAGCTGCACCTCTTATCGTTAGGCGACAGGGTACAGTTTCCGTCCGCATTATCGCAGTCCTCGTCGTTGATTTATTGCTGTTTGCCCAAAAGGGCAAACGAGATCTATAAAATCTAGCATTCTTAGGGAAGCTACGGTGTTAAGTATAGTCTTTGAAATGTTATCTAATGTTACTATTTACGTGGTGGTACGAACGGGAAATGCTGACAAGTCGAAGAGATCCAGTAATTAAGAAGCAAATTTCGTCAGAGTAAACTTGAATCATCGGAAAAGTCTATGTTTGGCGTCATCTAGACTGCAGAGCTAGATATCATAATAATTGTTTTTTTATTATGTGTTGAAATTAAAGTGACTTGATTAAATCTAACGACGCCAACGGTGCAGTCGCCACCTGATATCTCGTTCTCCGAGGTCTATCTCGACCGTTGTCGATTGGTCGATCAACTTCGCGACCTTGTCTCCTTGTCACCTAGGGTATTTGTGCTGGAAGTTTATACGAGTGCTTTGTTTATGCACCTGGAGAGGTAAACCAAACAAATAAACTAATGCTTGAGGCGACTTGATGAAATTATAGAAAAAAAATGTTTCTTAAAAATGTGATGTATGTAAATAGTAAATATATCATTAAAATTATATGGTGATAATTACTGACCTACTAAATGGTATGTACTGCAAGTCTGATTTGCTGGATGCTACGTGGGAGATCTTCTTCTACGAGTGTGCCTTTTCATGGACAATAGTATAAGTAGTTGCTGCAGAAGCTGAATTTAGGAAAAAACATTATTTAAACGTGCGAAACGTAGGAAGCGGCGCTCATTGAACTTCCTAAGTACTCAAAAATCAAGCTACGCAAGAATGGCGTTTTCCATTTGTCAGCAAAAACGAACTCTATAATATGAATTGTGCAGAGGCCCGTAACCATCGGCTTGAACCCAAATTTTCCACTAGTTCGTTGTTGTTTTTGAGACCACGGTAAAATCGCTTAAAACTGTATTGCATTCCCAAAATAATAACTGTCGGGTAGTAAAAGTAAAAGCAGTATGTGTCAGGTTTAGCATATTTTTATTATTATTATTATTTTTATTATTATCATTATTTTTATTAGCACATTATTGGATAAACAAATAGTCCATTAGGGTTCCTTACTAAGAGCGTATTCCTATGAGGTTTCAAGAACATGCTTTTTTAAAGAAACAGCAGAATACTACTTAAGCCGTTATCAAATAACAATAATATTAAAATTAATCCCAGGCAATGTGGTGTAGACAACAGACGTCAACATTAAACACATTGAAAATAACAAATTTCTATTGTGCTCGCGTAGGGACGTCAAAGAGAACAGAGACGGGGAGCTACTCCCAACGACGAACGTTGCAAGTCACATTGTGCCCTCTGACCAACTTTGAAACATTTGGGATTATCTGACTATTCTGTCGAGTTTCACTTGTTCTGATAGCTTATCAGAGTGCGAGTCACCTGATCGCACATTTACCGCCCGGGTGCATTGGTACAAGTTCGTACCATCTATATTCAGCAAGTCGAACGTACTGGGACAACGCTGGCCGTAGCGTGCAAAATTGAGAGCTTTGAAACTGCTAGATTCTTCGCGTATATCCCAATCTGATACCATAAAGATGCACCAATCAGACGCATGCTAAAAATATGCTATACTTGCATCGATCGATAGATTTAAAACGAAACTCTATTAGATCTTAGATAGTGCTCGAACAAAGCGCAATACCTTCTTAGCAGCACAAAAAGATCTCCGCCCCATAGCTCTGAACCAGAAAAATTGAGACCCTCTTCCTAGCGTTACTTTCAAACTGAAAACCCATTCAAATGGCGGATTAGGAACGTGTAGCACTACTAAATCCTAGATAGAACGATGGAGTTCGAATCAAACATCTCAGTATGTTCGGTGTCCATTCAGCATACACAACAAGCCGTCCGTAACCATTGTCACGAATATGGCATACGTTTAACCATAGATGTAATTACTGGTGCGTGCAAGCATCGACCCGTGCACCATTCAGACGCTACAACAAACCTTGTCCTCGATTTGTCTAGGCCTCGTTCTCACGTTTGTTCAGCCACAAACCTTCGTTTTGCAAACCAAAAGCGTTAGTTCATAGCAACGTATGCGAGATAGAATCTGAGATGTTATTTTTCAAAAACAATTGATAGTTTAGTACCCGCCTAGATCTAACTGGTCATTAAATCAATATTGCAATCTACAGTTGGTTCGCTACAGGAAATATAGAAGCAATATAAAATATTGAAAGTAATTCGCTAGTTTAATGCTTGTTAACTGCAAAGAAAAGGGAATATTAAAGCCATTTACTACTGCTTCTATCCTTTCGGGTTTTGGCATAGGACGCATATAACAATTTTTGCCATAAATAAACCTCAAGTTAAAATAAACAGCTAAATAATAGTGTGTAGGTACGGAACTAATCGTTTTCGATTTTATTTAACAGTTTTATTTACCTGGGCACTCCACAGCTGGAATCGTGCACGGATTATATGCTTACTACCTATAGACAGACACTTAATTTGTTACAATGTTAAAGCAAATGAAGACGCTTAACGTTATCAAAGAAAACATCTTTGCAATAGAAAGAAAGTGCCAATGAGAGGAACACACAGAGTTGCACGGCTGAAAGAGGGAGCTTGCGCGCACGCTAAGGTTTCCGTAGTAGCATCTAAATAGACTCCAGAACGGGAATCTATGAAGTATTTTGGACAGTAAATTAGCCAAATTTTTCTTGAAATCACTTGTACGAGGTTATTCGCTTGGCACTAAAAAAAAGTGCACGAAGAAAATCATATTAAAGATATAGAGTCTCACGTGATAGTGTGACGTTCCGATCGTGAGCCCGTTCTCGATCTACAGCGTGGTACGTTTGAACTGAAAAAAGTCTGGCGGGCTGTTTGCCATACCGACCATGCCCCTATCCGCTACTCTCGCACCTAGAAGAAAGCCAGTTATCGTTAGCGCAAAATAGCAAATGTATTATGGCGAGAAACAGTGAGCTGTCTTCGTAATTAAAGTCAAGATCAGCAGTTATCCGACCGTTCGGCGCTGCACAAATCTTCACTAAGGATAGCAATTAACCGTCTTCATTTTTACTATTATTACTACTAGTTCACACAAAGCTTTTGAAAGATCGGAGGAAGATTCGTATGCAGCAAACCGGAAGATTCTCAACAGAGTTGAGATTTAAACGCCTCGAAAGTTCAACAAAATGGCTCAAACAGCAATTTTGATACACTTGATTTGTCCCTACAGAAATTAATGGCTGTTTTAAAAAGAAAAATATCTCTTGACTATTGGGCCGTTCAGATAAATGTTTGGCTAATTATATTGCGTTCTTTTGTATTTTCGGACTTTTTGGCCACTTTGGGTCTTTACATTCCTGGGAAAAACAAATTTGGCTGGGTGCGCCACCAAGTCCAAATCTGATTTGCTGGAATTCTTTGTTTGTGACGTATTTCAGTGATATATTAAGAAGGGTATATCTATTAATATTAATTAACTCACGACTTTTAATAAAAAGCTATTTGTGGATTAAACAAAAAATATTTCAAAAGTAACTAACTAGTGGTGCTTGCCTTTGTGTAATATTAGGTTGCCAAAAGATCATCGACCGTTTTTAACTAGATTAGTCTTTTTGTATGTACCGCACAGTAGCGAGATTTCCCTGAGTTTCATATCTCTTGACGCAAGATTATCATTAAAAATTGTTTATGGATTAAAAGAATAATTTTTTTATAATAACTAGTTGGTCGTTGGTTAAAGTCCGTTAAAGCTGCAATCGCGGTGGATAGTGGTGGGGTTAAATAAACATGACCGTCATCCATGACATTTCTAGCACATTCGAAAAAATTCGTTGAAATATCTATTTTTATTTAGATAGAGCCTTAAGACAAAGCCCAAGAAAAATTCTCAGTTTAAACGCGACACCTTGGATGTTGCATTTTGCAGCGCAGCTGTTTTCCGATTTGAATTCGAGAGGAAGAGAGTTTTGTTTGCCGGGTATCCAAGTAATACTCTGCTCTGGTCAAGTTCAGCGCTTTTCCGGTACCTCTCGTTCAGGAAAAACAGAAGTTATTCTCAGTGATGGGCAGAGAAAGGTACTAACGGTTTTTATTTTGCTTGTTATCGCTCATATTGAATTATTAATAGTTATTGGCTAATGGCGCAATGTAGCCCTAAGTAATGATGCTCAAGTAGTGTTGCTCATCTAGGTTAGCTTACTTTAGGAGCGATAAAGTTGAACGTTTCGCAGTGATTGTGCCTACTGAATTCTATTTCTTGTTTATTTAGCACTTGCTATGTTTTTTTATTTGATATTCAATTCATTAATTGAATGTATTTAGTATTTTTTTTCTTTAGTTATAGCCTCAATTTATCTATTATACACTTCGGTCTTCTAGAAACTTGTGAAGTTCAGTTTACCTTACGAGGAATGAGTGCAAAAGGGAACGCATCTTTTAAACTCGAAAATCATTCCGCAACGATCCAGTTTTTGTTTCTCTAAGGGCAAAATGAGGCAAAAATTCATCGAAGATTTGTGCCCTTTGGCGAGACAACGAATATTAGAGTATTAACGACCAGTAATGAGATGACCAGATATAAATACCCGAAAAACAAGACCCCATCGCCGCAATTGGGAAATCTCTCCAAGAAGCAAAGTTTGGAATCCGAAAGCTTTGTCATTTTATATGTCGGATATTATAGAATTATAATGAATATACTGAAAGCAAGATAACTATGTAAGAAACACGTTCTTCGTGGATTAATTCCGCGTCAGTTGAAAATTCCAACCGCGGTTGGAGCAATTCTTTCGTTTGCTCCCTCTCCGACTGGCGATAGGGACTGAACCACGTTTGTTTATGGGGATCGCATGCTTCAAATGATGCTTTTGTTGGTTAAAGTTCCGCAAAATTGCGCTTGGAATACACCACAAACATTTTCAGCTGGCCTGGGCTCAATCTAAGACCACTCATTCTTTATTTACCTGCCGCACTTTCAGAACTTATAACCTAAGTTCTGAAAGTTCTGAAGTTATAACCTAACTTCGCACCTGACGCACATTAAATGGGAAATTCCAGTTTTAGCCGACAGCCCGCATTATAGCCAAAAGGGCCGCAGGGCCACTAAGCGCCGATTTTAAGCCTAAAGGATGTTTTTTCTTCAAAGCTCATTTCTTTTGCAGTAAATTCAACTGTGTTCACTGTTTTTTGCATTTTTCACTAAGTTACTTTCGTTTGCTAGAAGGCGCACAGTGCAAAACTTATGAAATTTCGAAATTTGCGGATGTATAGTGCATATGTTATATTTATGCAAAATAATTAGTAGCAATTATAAGTGCGCAAAAAAATAACACTAATCAGAAGGAGAAGCCGTGATGAAACCGATCTCTTGATCCTTGCTACAGCATTCATTGATTTCATCTATAAATATCAGAGTGTAAAAAACTACTTAATTACTAATTAATACACATTTAAGAGGCTTGCGCTGGCCTTCGCCTCATTCGAAGTAATGTTAGGTCCTCACGAAAGCTTCCTGAATAACCTTGTCTGCTTATCTGAGGGACAGGTTGTGGTCAAAATTCAAAGGCAAGCATAGACACAGCTCGCTTTGTGCTGGAAGCCAGGCATCTAACGGAATGCCTAACGGCGATACTGGACGTAAAACTCGAAACATGGAGACCCTAATATATAAATAATGCATGTGTCTCGTTCTCAAAAACAGTGCCTGACTGTAAATATACATGATACTACATAAACATATATAAGGCAGGTAAGTACACATAATCTCTGGTCTGGAGTGTCCTTTTCGAGGTTTTATTATATCAGCACCTGGCGCGCTGTCGTCTGCTTGTGGGTTGCTTTTTACCACTGTTATTGTTTGTTTCGCAAAGAAGACGGCTCCTTATAGATGATGATTTAAACTATACGCCCGAGTTAACTCTAATAGCTTACTTGCCGCCAAAGTGAAATTCGAAGGCGATGTTCTCAGGTCAACGAAGGTATTGAAAACGGTTTTTTTTTGATAACTAATGTACTATCAGAATTCACAACACATTTATACAAATAATTACCTGGTCTATGGTTCGAATTTTTGAGGCGCCTGTGGCTGCAAAATTAAAGAAACATTAGGCCCCGGTATTCATTAAGGGAAAAATATTATTTTAGGCGAGATTTCGAAGTATCAATAAGGAATTAATTCTGGTTATGGAGTTCTGACACGATTTAATAGGCTAGCTAAATAATAACTAATAGTTTTGCTGATAAACTATGTGGAAATTTACGTAAACTAGCTATACACTGTACGACCTTTCCAATAAATATTTTACTTAGTTTCGAATGACTTACTTGGGATGAAACCTGATAAGTTAAAAATCTGTCCATATTCTCATAGAATTTTGCAATGCAAGAAACTCGTCACGAATCGTTTTTCTGCTCAGCCTTGTGAAACTATTGTCGGTAAAATTCAAATGTTTTCACAGTCAAATATAACATACAGCGATAGGTTTGAAAAAAAATGTAAGTAGCCCTCACCCATATCGTTGTGTTTATAGTTCATTTTTTAACCCAAACGTCAAACAGGTAGAATTCCTGCCAAATTGAAACAAACAGGATGGTTATTTTCATATAACATTTTTTTTTTCTAGTTCTGCAGTTCAATCGTGAGATTTAGCAGAGTCCGTCAAAAACATTGTATTATTGCTTAGGTAGGTTAAGTAGCCAGCAATAGTGATTAGGTAACTGAATATACCAAAGTAAGTTAAATAGCAAACAGTTCTCAGCAAATTCTGTTCTATTCGAAAAACGTGTGAACTCCTAGCAGTAATGTTGTCGGTTAGTAAATGTTCATATACGAACGCTTTAAAGATCCGCTTATTAAAGAACGCTTAGGTTATGTTTAAAGCAGATTTCTAATAACGTCGATGGGCAGTATGTCTCAGCGATAGTGTCTCACAGACATTGCACAAGTAGCGTACGTAATTAAGTACACTATTCAGTTCATCTCTAACTTCACCCCATGGGTTTGCTATCATAGTGCAACTGACGTACTTTCTAATTGATTTGTTAAATAATTTGGGCTGTAATTGTGGTCCAGCAGCAATAAAATTTCATTTGACGATAGAGATTTGGCTGAAAAAACTTGACATTAAAACTGGTATGTACTGACTGTAATATATATTTCAAATATCACAAATCATCAAATTACGCGTATCACAAATTACGCGTACGACTTCAGAAATTATACTTCCAGGGCGTAGAAGCACGAGACCGAAAGAGTTAATCCTGAGTTAAATATCAATGCTTTCTTTCAAAACTTGAACTTCCGGTAAACTTAGTAGTGGGTTATTTGAGAACAAATTTAGCAATTAGCCTGTTGAATTGCTTGGTAAAGAAAGCTTTAATCGCACAACAACTTAAATAGATAGGCTTATTTTGCACGTAATATCCTGATGTGACAATTCTTATTTGTTTTCTAGATGGCGAACCAAGGGAATGTAGCAGAAGCAGCTGCTAATAAACCTCTTCAGTGTCTGTACTGTGACGTAAAGTTTACATCCCTCATAGACGTTTTGAGGCATAATAGTAGTGCTCAGCACAATGCAAGGATGCAAGAAGTTAACGGGGTAAGCTTTTTTTTATTGCAAACACACTGATATCTATGGCTAGTATTTAGAATGAGGCACTTGATTGTATATATAGGTCTAAATTGACTCAATAGGTAGTTACGACTGGTTTTGGGGGAAGTTGTTCGGTGCGACATAGTATTGTTGCGTAGGATGTGACTGGCCTATTCGTATCAACTATTAGTAATGTTCCCGACGTCACACTCAAGGACAGTTTATGTTGTATTCCACTTGATTGGCACGTCGCGTACATGTATATTCTATACATGACAATTATGATGCTTTCGTTGTCGTAGTGACCAATTCGAATGGCCTGGTACTTTAAAGTCATGCACTCATACCTTCTAATCAATACAGAAAGCTTTACGTAAAATAATACGTTTGTTCCTAATACGGGACCTTTCTTCCTCTTTGAATTTCAATGAAAATTTCTCAAGAACTGTTCTGTTTTGTCCCTGCTCAACTGATGAGCTTCTTGTTAGATTTAGAGAACTTCTGTAGGACATCCACTGTAGATCCTGTAAAATCGCGACCCAAATCTGAATCGTTGTGTATCGTAGTTTTCTCCTTAAATTTCTTTTTATTATCTATTGATTTTGGGCTAGACTATTTTAATGTAAATGGAACGGTGCAATTCTCATATGATCAAGTCCTAAATAATTGACTAAATCTGCGAATATACGTATGACGTGGATTCAGGGCCGTTGTCAAAATGTGTGAAATTGTGCTTTACCGCGTGGTTGTATTAGTTGTAGCTGGATTTAGAATAACCAAGCCATTTCGAATATGCGTGGATAGCAATCAAAAATATTTTGTCTTTTAAGGAACCACTGAAATCAAGACACTTTTATTGGGCCGTATGACCGCTCGCCAGTTTGAATAGATATCTTTCTTAGATTTCTAGATTAGTTGGTCCAATGAAAACTATCGGGCAATGTTCCCAATATCGTTATGGATTTGATGACCAGTATCTTAAGAACCTTATGACCAACTTTGTTCTAGTGCTGCCCAAGTGCTTAGCGTATTATCCTTTCAATAAATTTAGTTGGAAAGCCTTTGGCATTATAATTCCATTTTTCTATAAAAGATATACTTTCTATGTAGACGGCGTATCACGATGGTTATGGAGGCAGAATGGCGGATCGTTTGTTGGTAAAGTGTTTGGTCGCTTAAGCAACGTTTTATTTATTTTTAGACTTATTTTTATTTCTGTAGTTATATGGTTGGTGATTTCATAGCGTCTCTCATTATCACAGGTAAACAAAAGCTAACTTTTACAAATGAACCATTAAAATCTTCTACAGAAATAGCTTTTACGACTCAATCAACAGCTTGTTACCTATGAATCTGTTGATTAGTAGTAAGTCGCGACAGGGCATAGGCATTGCCGAACATATCAGTTCTTTTTATATTGTATCTACAGTCGATATCCTAGTAGAAGAATCGCCCACCTTTGTAACCTCATGCTATTCTTTTATACTATAAGTGGCAGTGTTTTATAGTCGTTAAGTAAAATAAATTGATCTGTAAATGTATTTTCGGAATCAAACAAACATTAGTCCTAGATCTGGATTCGCGCGTAGTTTTGAAAACCGAGTATGCAGAGCAATTGTTTCTATTTAATTTTAACGACATAACGCCACGATGCCGATAATAATTCTCCATCTATGTGTTGTAGGTCATGTTCAACGATATTTGTAATAAGTGGGTATTTGCGTGCTCGCCTTTGAAGTTATGAGGTTTTCCTTATAACCATAGAAGACTAAACTTTCCAAGCTAGCCGTGTGCCTTGTATTTTCTGTAATAAATTTGCATTCAGGGGTTTATGTAATTTCACTACAATTGTGCAAAGGTTTGACTTATCGGTTGAATACGAATATGAACTCTTCGCAGTATGTGTGTAGGTTAATGAACCACTTGCTACTGAAGATCTGAGTAAATAATACGTTACCTATATACATTTATACTTTATACTCTCGTTTCAGTGCGGAACACCGGCGACTCCCATAGAGCAAAAAAAGGGTACCATATCGGAAGCAGATCGTATGTGCATAAGTTTGGCTGAAAGTGAATTTAAGTGTAACTTCTTCACGTGTCCCGTAGATAAAAACTTTCATGAGTTCCTCGTTTCACAGAACATCTTCCAACCATCTCAGCCTAAAAATGTACCTGCTTCTTCTGAGAAGGACTAATTTTAATTGTCTATCGCCTCGAGAAGACCACATCCATGGTAGCAAGCAATCATAATTAATAGTTAATAATAACTCGTGTAGTTACAGAATGGTCGCAGCTCACCGATGGCAGGTTAATATGGCTTTAGAAAATTCGTCTATAGTGAAGACAAACTGTGAACCGCAGTGGAGAATAATTATGTATGATATATGTCTATGATTGGCACCCATCGCGAGCTGTGCACTTGTGTAAGCGTGCGATGTCAGAAACATAGTTTATTGCCGTGATTTTTAAGGTTTCTTGGTGTACAATGATTTAAATCTTACACAACATTGGTAAAATGTAACTTACCTACCGAAACCTAACATGAAAGCTTCGCTCCAAGTTTACTGACTCGATTTGTTTGTTATAATCAGCGTTTTAGATACACAAATGGTAATAATGACGGTGTGATAACGATAGGTGTCAAGTAAGCCATGTATTTATTTATGGTCAAGCCAAGAACTTTTATGTGTGTAATGATGTCTGGGAGATGCATATTCACGAGTGGGATAAATATCTCAACAAATATTTGCCTAACAATACTGCCAAAGAACTGTTCTCATAAAGTTTCAACTATTCGCTTTTTAATTAGCTTTGCCAACTCGAGTGCAGGCGTATTATTAAAGTGGTATTGTTTGCGTTACACAATATGTTGAATCAAAGCAAGTGTAAGTCTATATTCACCCCTATTTAGTGGGATGCCTACCAGTTCTGGGTAACCTGCTAATAGGTCTAACTGACCAGCAGAATGTACGGAAGCTACATATAGTTAGAGATTTCGGCTTGGGTTGCCTATGCTTTCCAGACTAATTTCGTTCCAGTTGCCAGATAATATATGCTATTATTCATGGTCAATGACCCACGACTGTCAATGTGCATGTGCTGACATAATTGTTCTGCCTGCCTGAATAAAATTACGAAAACCTTTATTAGAGGCACGTTATTAATCACAACGATACGCAATATAAATAAGATTGAAATATGAGTTCAACTTGTCGTACACACACACTCCAAGGTTATTAGAGTGACCATGTAGTATGGGTCTACGTGATGACTTCATGCAACGAAATTTGTTTTCACTTCATTATTTATTTGAAGTGTTTCATTATTTATCTTTCGAAATTATGGTAAAAGCAGGCTGGTTATTTTTCTTATTTGTAGTGCAATAAAAGTTCCATGAGCTTTAGTCAAGGACAAAATTAGTAACACAAATTCAGCACTTCCTTTTAAATTTTTTAGAAATTTGATGCGAATGAATTTAGGACCAATGTTTTCTAGATAAAAAAAAGGTGTGGCCTATATAGCTTCTAATCCTTACCTCCCCTTACTTACGTTAAGTTCATTCATTCAATTATGTATCCAATGTTACTGATGGTCCTTTAGATTCACGTGGTTAGCATGCATCAACAATATCCTAGCATTGACGGCCAAAATTCATAGTAACTGTATACCGTTACATGTATTAAATCATTGAGTAAGAGCATAGATTAGGCGCACTAGGTAAGAAATGTATCACTTTGGATATTTTATATTTTGGAATTGTTTCGAAGTACATAGAAGGCCCTATTGAGATTGACAGTGTACGGGATTTTTACGGCATCACGAACAGAAGCTACGCAAGAAAATGATGTTCAACATTAAGCTGCATTAACTAAATAATGTGTCATCTAATTAAAAAAAATGCATGTATTGATATAGTTGTACAAATCCCAAAGCTAATCTAATTGGGAACTGCAGATTTCCAAGAAGCGCTTAATTTACCTGCTCTACGTATTTTTCCAGTGATTAATGTTAATTAATTAAATAGACTTCGGCTATTTCAGGACGTAGTTGTAGAATAAGAAAATCACCAATGTGTGCGTTCACCTGCCTCATCAGGTCAACCTCTATTTTGAGTTTTACGCCCGGTATCGCTGTTAAGCATTTCATTATATGGCCGGCTCCCAGCACAAAACGAAGCCTGTCTATGTCCAGTTTGAGCCTAGACCACGACGTGTCTTTAAGACAGCAGGCAAATACGTTACTACGTTATCACGGAGCTGATCAGGCCAGCCTGTTACATATTGACCATCTATAGTCTAAATACCAAATAATGATATTATACTTTCGAAGCGAATTAACTACGTGATAAACGTGTCCATTTGAGGCGAAATATAAAAGCAGTTTGGCATACTTTGGAATACATTTTTGGGGAGGCCTGTAGGATTATGCGTTTATCTGTCATTCATGGCAGTGGAAGAAGGTCAGTGCTTCGCGAAAAATACGACAGAACCATTACGGCAGGTGGAAAATTGCGTTTCTGAATATGGATGAAAGTCAACTATTCTAGTAGTCAATGCGTTCGCGTCGAGCAAACCCGAACAAAAATCATGTTATTTCTGACTGTTAAATGGCTTCCGAAAAATTTAATATGGATTTTCGTAAGCTTATACGAAAAAACCCAAAATATGATTTAAGCTGAAAAAGTGAAAAAAATTATCAAAAAGGACACGAAAAGCTATTTCTGATGGTTATTGAATTAACATGTTATTATGTTCTTGAGATAAAGATCGCTTTTTACTAGAGGGGTTTTGCATAAAAACCACAGCAGGCAGCATTTTTTTTCACTACTCATGCCGTTTTGCATGTTTTGGTTTTTTGCCCCTTTGGGGTCACAGTCCGTTTTGCTGTCTTGCCTGCGAGTATCATTATGGTAAATTTTGACAGTCCTAAAGGTATCAATGTATCTTTGCTCACAGGTACCACTGAAAAATTTTTCTCGAATTACCAAAATGCATTTTTGCGAAAGAAAGAATTGGACTCGTTATAAATGCGAATGACAGTTACATAGAATAAGCACGCCCGGCAGGGCTGTTTCTGTCGGTACGGGCGAAAAAATTCATTTAAATATGTGCTTTAAATTTTATATGGCCTAAAAACAAACAACATTGATATAGATATATATATATATAACAGCGATAATGCTGATTCATGACTGTGATCATTCGTATATGTGGCATACGTTAAAAATGTTGTTCTTCCGAAACCATGCGTTGTGCTAATGAGGCGTCAAGATTACTTTCAAAAACCACCGTATGTACTCGCTATTCGCAACAACATATGGTACAAAGTGTGGCAAAATACAATCCGTCAATTTAACCCGACATGTGTATACATACACGCATTCTAAGGTGGGTTGTGGTCAAAGGCCCCCAGGATAGTCATGTAATCAAAGTATGGGCATTTAGGAAATCTGTTTTTAGTTCGTCATTCAAGATGAACCTTTTGTGCATTTAAAACCGCAGTAAAAAATTGAACTGATAATTTTGTTCCTTCAAACAAAAGTTCGATGAAATGCGAGAAATATTTTTTATAATTTGGACAGTTAAAAGATGCAGTAGCGCAAATATTGCAATATTTCAAATTTGGGTGTACCTAAGAAATTTTGAAAGTCTCATAGTTTTCGAAATCTGAAATCAAAATGGTCTTACTGTAGTAGCCTATGTTACCCTACTTTGCTCCTATTTGCAATATCCTGCATTCATAGTCAAATATACAGCAGTACGTGAGCTTGCACTAAAGCAGTCTGGATTGCGAGATTGTATTTCCATATGTTCTTTCTTATTTTCAATAAACGACGATTTGTACCATATTGAAACTTTAGATCTATTTCAGCTGGTTATCTGCGCGTAAATCTCGAAGGGTAAATTAAAAGGTACTTGAGTAAAGATGCCATTACACATTACAGTTGCAAACTAAAAATCTCTGAAGAACAAATCGCTCTCGTTAAACACGTAGGCACTGCCTGAACACAGCATAATTATTATTTGTCCATCTCTGAAATTACAAAACGGTTGGGTCGTTCGTGTAGTTTTCATGCGTACATCTGAAGATCGTCACGTCACTGTTATTCGACGACGTGACTATAGCAACAATAGCCGGGACCTACAGAATCGAACAAACCCTTTTATACGATCAATCTTTGCAGTCACAGGCATACAAGCACTTGTAGTAAAAAAAGTGACAACTTGTAGTCTATAAGAATGTGATTTTTGTGCATATTCTAACATTAACAATAGATAGGTGAGCTATTTTTTAGAAAAAAAACAATTAATTTCGTAGAAGTCTCACTTTCATGTTTTTTATTTCCATTCTGAAGCATGTTTCATGTATTTTATGAAAGTTGACAATAGCTAAAAACGTTTGACAAGTTTAATTGCAAAGTAAGTTGAATTTCAGTGGTAACCCTCTCGTCTTAGATATATTTTTTGTTGGATCACACCGTTCGACGTCCGCGTTGCTATGTCGGAAAAGTTAGAGCATTCTTGCGAGATTATTGCAAACACGAATTTGAAATAGGTGCGCAAAAAGGATCGGCACAGAGTGTAAGGAACCACAAACAGTGGATATATAATTAATCTAAAAAATTTCCAGTCAGTTGATTCTATAGGTGACGCCAGTTCTATTGTAAAGTAACTTTAAGATTGATTTCAGAACAGTGCAGTATTAAAGTTTTTTTTTTTTTAATAGTAAAAAATTAAAAAAGTTTGAGAGAGTGAACTGTGGTATAAACTTCACTTTGTCTAACAAAAACGCCTAGTCTAGACTTTAATATTCTAGACACGTAAAAAAACATAAGAATGTCCATTAAAAACATCGATTTTTCCCGCTTTCTCAAAAATCACACAGTTGATTAGATGGAAAAAAAAATAATATGGATGACAAATGTTGGCACTTAGTAGATTGAGGGATCATTTAGCAAACGAGTGGTGGTGATAATGTTTTCAACCCTAAATCAAATCAAGACATTTTATTCGGATTGTTGTCTTAAATGTAATAACATAACCCTTTCGTGCTAACTCGAAAGTTTGTGGGCCCAATATATATTTAATCAATTACATAGGCACATTTTTGAGCAGCAGTTATTTCGTATTTAGAACACTGTACCTGACTGTCTCAAAAATGTTGATTCTGTAAGTGTGTTTGAAAAATATGTTAGCTATCATCTTTTATTTTATAATAAACGCCTTTTTCATTTTACAGTATTTGCAGTATTATTTCTATAGTATTAATTCTTATTGATGCTTGGTCCAAAACAATGTTTTTCAAACTCTAATCATATTAATGTAAGGAAGACATCAAATGAGTAAGTCTACTCGCGATACTCACATCGCATTAAGTTAATTAAATAAATAAATAAAAACCTCATACACAAGATTATATGTACTTTGTTGCAAGTGTCTTAGGTTATTTATTTACAAACGAAATATATTATAGACATTTTAGATAAACAAAGACGTTTGTGGCATTCAATATCTCTATAAGAATAGGTGCCTCCACATAAGAATGTTTAGTTTGTGCAGAACGATGCATTCATCCAACCAATCCTCTTTGGGGAGAGGGAATTATCAGCAACAGCTGCCGTGCCACCTGATTACTGTACTGATGTTGTTGTCGTTGTAGTTGTCAGATAGAAGTAAATATTGGACTACGATGTGACATATTTTATTGACAGCAGCTCAGTTATTAAAACAATTAGAATTGTAACCATATATTTTTTTTATAAAGTTTCTGTTGTAGCTTGTGTGCGGTTAGCGAACATGGATAATTAATTGTGAATGAAATTAATGTTAATTGCTATGATAGCGTGACGCGTCTAACTTGAGCTGAAAGTAAGAGAAGTACATTTGATTAAAAGTCAGTGGACTGTACCTCGTTTTATATTCTGAGGTAAAAAGACAAAGTAAATATGTTGAGGTGTTATGGAAAATCTTGTCGTTACATGTTTCGTATAGTGGTTCTGTACTCGAAATCAACCATGTCGCAGTAGAACTCATTTTTATCTTTTAAGTAGTCTTGTTGTTCTCATTAATAGTAGTCATATTTACTATATTATGTGTCAGTTAAGCATTGAACTATAATTTGAATCTTTTTTTTTAAGAAAACTAGTATATGAATTGTATGAATGAAAAGTATATGTAACTTTTTCGTTAGCAGTTTTTAATAGTTATATTTTATTTTTTTTTAATTTCAAGCGCAGAAGATGACTATGGTTTATGTAAGCTTTCGTGAGCTTCTAAAAATATGTAATAAACTGTGTAACATAGCTTATAGACAGAACTAGTTTATTAGCCATGAAATAAATTATCGCGTAATGACGGCTTCCTGCATTTCGGAAGTAGGTTGAGTAACGACTCATCAGAATTGTATACCCTTTATGAGAAAAAAAAAAGGAATATATCGTGTCAGGTGACAGTATTAGATTATGCACAGAGCCGATTTAATATATATGCCCACGCTTCCAACTTGTGAAAATAGGGCGATTGTCTACCTTGCTTATATCACGTAAAACCTAGACAATTATTCAAATTAAAAAACTTTTTTCGTAGAGTTCAGTTTTCTATTTCGTTACTTCAAGTGGGCTAAAAGACGAGGTAATGCAACCGACCGTTTGTGATAACTTGTGTAAACCTGTCAGTTACCAAAGATGCTCAAGAATCAGAATCACCAGAGTCGCTTTGTGCGCATAACGGTGTGCGGGGCGAGGGGAAGTGGTAAAACTTCGCTTATCGAACAGCTAGTCTACGGAATTCCGCCAGTACGAAAGAAAGCACAACCTACCATTGAAGATATCTATGCCTGTTTTGTTGAAACGGAACGTGGGGTTAGGGAAAAGGTCAGTACTCACTTTTCATAGATGAGTGTGTTTAGTGCAAATCCAAGTATTGTGATATATTGCATTTTATGTACAGCAAAAAAAGAAGTGAGTTAAGGGGAAAAGGGCACGAATATAAACTTCGTACAAACGTGTAGACTTTTATGGCTCTCGTCGAAAAAAACCAGAACTGCTTCGTACGGCAGAATATTGCTTTGAATAAAGCCACATTTGAATTTAATTTGAATTATATATTATGGGATGTTACAGATATAAGAAGATCAATGTTGTAACAGAATTCTGCATAAGAATCAGCTAATGCAGATGACTTTGTAAGCTTATTCTCATATTCAGCAGGTGTTCATTCACGATACTCAAGGAATTGATTCTTCGAACTACGACATCCCACGAACACTCATGCCACACACCGACGCCTTCATTTTGGTTCGTTATCAATTTGTAATAATACCAAAGTATTCGAAAGCGATCAAAGTAATGCTAATCGTACAAACACATCCTGTATCAAATAGGCAGACTCTCTTAATAACATGTGATCTTTTGAAACACTAACATGAACTTATCCTGTTTTTGAACTTTAGCTCTGCTGAAGTACCTGACAGCGTGTTTTGTTTGTCAAAATAAAATTTATTATCATTATTCATCGATTATCGAACCTTGCATGACCGTGCAATAAATACTTCAGCACAAAGATGACGGCTTTGTGAATAATGTTCGTTTTTTTTTTATCTCCATGAATACCTATTTTCACACTAGGTGTACGCGGTCAATGATGTGGAATCCTACAACATCATGGAACAGCTCAAAAAAGATATCGACAAGAACCTTTCGAAAAAGGACGTTCACTTCCTCATCATTGGAACAAAGTTGGATCTCAAACAGCGGCGAGTTGAAGCGGCGGTCGCTGTAAGAGTCATTTGCGCAATGATTTCTATAGTAAACACACTGCGATTGAGCTACGAGATTGACTCAACGTTTGTTGTGGTCACTAGTAGTCTGAGCTAGGTTAAAAATTAGATAGAGCGCAGGGAGGTTTTATAACATAAAATTTCAGCTGTACTGATAACCTTGGCACTATGTAAACTGATGAGCTTACAATATCCTACTAAGGACACTTTAGTTTGGGGTTGGCACTGGATTTAAAGTAGCGCAACGAGCCGCGCATACCAGACACTCTAAACGAAAGGTGTGTTTTATTTCTATGGAATAAATAATGAGTCTTCTCTGTAGCAGTAAACACCTATAGAGTAAGCAATCTTCGCTTATATTCCCTTGCCTTTTTTAGTTGAACTGGGCAGCACGTGAAAAGGTCCGTCTTATAGAGGTATCTTCGCTTGACAGGAGGAGTCTCGTCGAGCCACTGCAGTATATCATGAATAAGGTGCACAAAAATTATTCACCGTTTGGTATCATTCAGTTGTAGTGCATATAGATTAGAAGTATAAGAACTGCCCCCTTAGTGATAATAGTTAAATGTTCACGGCAAAATTAATTTGTTCCAATTAAAATACTAGACTATTTTCTAATTATTATATCAGCAGCTAAGAACCTGCTTGCCCCAGGTACTTGCTTCAACGTTCACCACTAATCTGTAATATGTTTTTGTACACCTGTATTGCGAAGTATAGCGGGTTATTAATATCTATGTAGCTGCCTATGAATATATGAAATACCTAAACAATCTCTGATCACAACCAGTAAGTAAATAAAAACGCCTAATTAAGCAGTTAGTGAAAAACTATTTCAATATTTGTAACAATCGAGTGCTTTTTCACCACCATTTTTCGAATAGAAGAGGTGACCAACGATTCTGTATATTTTTGTCTACTTGTAGGTAATCCAAACACAATCAAAGTCAACATTCGGCAGACCAAAACTCGGGGCGCGTTCCAACACAATTGCCAATATTAATGACTAACTATTTTCGCTGAATTTTATCATCATTTTCTGTTTATTGGGCTGTCGTGCGTAAAATGCAGTTTAACGTTTCCTCTGTACGGAAACAATGCAAACTGCAGCTACCGAGTTCTGCGGAAATTTATGATCGCAAGACATGCGGTGCGCAAGTTTTGAATGATCTATGATATAAAATAATACTGGATATAAACTGAGCAACAGCGTTCATAATATTTATTCTGTCCATGCTTCAGATATTCACATTTATTTTATGTAATTGTACGTGTATTCGTGTTGTATAAAAAATTAACTGTTTGTATGTATGCACAACGTGACAAGCAAAGTGACTGCAAAACAAGGAGTGAAAGGTGTTTTTAGGGTTACTAATATCATAGTATATGTGTGATTAGACTGAACCACTTTTAAAGTGGTGAGAGTAGTGAAAATGCTGAAAAACATATTGATAAATCCCCCAAATAAACCTAAGAGTCATTTGAAGCTGTTACTTAACACCAAAAACTGTGGCAATCATCCTCGACGTGAAGCGAAAAAAAAACAGGAGAATTAACTGATACGTAGCACTAACCTGATGACGACACAGTGGTATATTGTGCTATATAGAAGCGCAAACGGTGGTTACACAGATCTTGAAAAATCCGCTATAATAAAGGTACAATGTGATATTTGTTCTAAGAGCGCGTATCCTTCTTGTGTAAAGCTTCTATTTAAATAAAATTTGCTTTAATATAGTTTCCAAATAAGACACGTGTTCGGATGCGTTGCTTCTGCTTGAATATAATTGTAAAGGCGCAACAGGTTGGAGTACCTTTGATATTTCATAACATTGAATCTGGGCTTTGAACGAGTATATACGTACGCTTTTTTCATTTTTTTTTCCTTCATAATTAACTCTTTGAAGCTTTTGTAAGATGACGGTTGATTTCATATCAGGTTGTTGTTTACTTTTTCGTAGTGTTTCAACAAAAATGATTGTAGACCTTTATCGGAATCGTGCAAGTTTGAGGTTAATTTGGTGTACAAAAACGCACAACATATATTTAGCGTTTGTAAATAAACCATTGTTATTATAATATTAATTTAGCAATAATGTAGTTCAATAGCAGAAAATGTTATTACTCCGAAATTCATCTCGCTGTGCTTTCTTATGTAGGCCCTACATTTTGTAACAGAATTTGCCTAAAACAGATTTGTAACTGAAGCGGAAAGAGGATAGCGGCAAGAGCCTCTCTCACTGTTTTGTTCACTGTTTTACCTAGTTACATTGCCTCATTTTGTTTTTTATGATAATGGATACATGAAAGCTTTCATTTAATATACAATTCAATAAAAACAATATATTTTTTAACCTTTCAAAGAGCAATACGCTTTGAGAAAAAAGTACCCTATATATTTTTTTATTTTAATGGATTTTACTGAATAAATAATTTTAAGTACCATCCTTTCCCTTCTTTCATTTGACCCCGTTAAATGAATATAAAACTTCACAATTTTATTAAGATATATTTCTATTCAGCTATGCAATAAAAATATTTTTTTTTTTTTTGAGAATATAGTAAATTTTCTGCCTCACACTCAGAAGTTCAAAGCTATTCTCCATCGTACCCTCCAGCATAGAGTTCAAAGCAAAAGGCAGCAAAATAGGACAAAAAGGCATGACGAAATGTTGGTGTTTTTTTAAATGCAAGGCTTTTGGCCAAGTTTCGTCATACAAAGCCGTCGTTCGTTTCCGCAACGCGCTTAGGGCGCCACTAACCGACAAAACCTAGCTTTCCCCTTCTCACTTCCCCTCCCCCACAGGCGAAGCAGACAAAAGACGAAATGAGTGGAGAGCTGCTACTGGCCAATTGTATTGAATGTGTGTGCTTTTATCAAAGGGTATGGTATATTCTATGCAACTGGCATTGTGGCGACTTTGCCTGCTGAGTCCGCCATCTTGTTTTGTCGTTGCACCCTCTACAACGGAGCCCTAGCGCGGTGGCGTCTTCGAAGAGTATTACCAGTGGTGACTCCTGCCGGATGGAGGCACCCCCAGCCAACCTTACAAGCCGACGCTAAGCAAGAAGGCAATTGAGTCAACAGAATAAGCACAACAGTCGACTAGAGCAGAGAATAAGGAGGATTAACTTAGATTGTGCTAGTGTATGCGTCTGTTGCGTTTCTGTGGAGACGACGTGGATATTCGAACGTATCAAATCCGAACCGAAGACGACGAGTTTGTTGCGTTTGTCTGCGATTGTGGTGACACACAATGTTGAGTGCACGCAGGTGCCATAATCTCGTTGAAAGACAAAAACAAGTAGCAAGAAACAGCGATCCAACGCATCAGCCAGCGACGAGCATTTTGATGAATTTTAGTCTCACGTCGAAGCAGCGCCACATAGTACAGATTGAAGAAAGTGGAGAAAAACTGATTCCGCGTTCGTTTTTGTCTCAACAACAGCTAGAACCGCTGCTGCAATCACATGATGATGATGATGTTGCACCAGGCCTTGTCCTCGCTACTGAATCGCAGTCGCTCAGAACTCGTTTGACTTCAGTGCAGAGCGGCTGTCTGTGAGCAACCTGATAAATGCTAAACGATCATTTGAGCTCCGCATCTAAGTATATAGCTAAAGAGCAGAATGTGGAGGCGGCGACAGTTGATAGTCTGCGGTAGAACAGCTGTGCTTTGCGGCGCCAACTAGCAGAGAGCAAAGGTTTTGCGAACGCTCTTGTTTGTGGCGGATGGGTTGTGTAGGTGCCTTCTTGTTCAACTTAACTACGTTCGTGTTTTGCAAGTGGTTGATACTGTGGCAGTGTTCGTGTGCTTTTATGTGTATAGCAAAGAGATTACGTTATATGTGCACCTTTCTAGTATTTCACGTCTTCAATGGAAAAGGTAAACAGATCATAACTTCAGAAACTGTAGTTTTTAAATACGCCTCTAGTAATTGACCATTATCTTGCATTTAAAAAAAGGTTAAGTAGACTCCGAATATTGCGTTCTTGTATGGCAGCAATAAGAAGCTGCGTCGGTATATATATATATATATATATTTTTTTTGTTTATTCCAATTATATAAAAGCTTATATTTTATAACTCATTATTTCCAACAGCTAGTCTGAAGAAGAGCTTTAAGTAGTGCATCCACAATTGGAGAACTGTTGTTCATATAAAAAATAAGTAAGTCTTCTCGTGATCGCTTTAGAACGCCTGAATGAATGAAATGTCGTTGGGCGGTTGTTAGAAAGCGCATCGGGCCGCATCACGTCTTTGCGCTTGATCGATATTTTAATTCGGCGACAGCAGTTGGGCGCGAGAAACGATGTTTTGTTCGCTGTATCCTTTGAAAAGTCACAGTTCCGAACCAAATGGCCCTCCAACTGTGGAGGCAGTGCAGCGGATTGGTGTCAATAACAGGTGACGAGTACGGCCTGCCGAATAGAACAAGTTCGATGGGTTTACCTACTCTTTAAACCAACAAAAATATAATAAAATTACCGTTATTTTTGTTATTCTCGATGAGTTATTGCCACGGTGTAAGAGAGGTAAAACTAAAACTTGTTTTCGATTTGTTATCTCTGCCCTGATAATGAACACGTTTTCTTTCTTTATACTGTTCACGAGAAGATTATGTGAAATGTAATTCCTTATCTTATTATGATTGTCATACAATAAAGTAGTTGGACCATGTTTTATAAAGCTGTTGTCGCTGCAAGTTGTCCTTATAGCTTTTTCTTATATTCTTACCTTTTAGAACGTTTATCTGCGAAAAAATAAATGGAAGTAAACATTGGGCACCGGTGGTTACCCATTTACAGTACTGAAAGCTCTGTTAATTATTAGACAGGGTTCACTCGGTTTCGGAAAATTTGACTTTATTTTATAATGTAGCCAATCTTATATTCATATTCCATTTTTTTTTTAGTTATATTAGTTAAATATTAGATAAGCTTGAGATGCGGCATAGGAGTCAGTTCAATTCAGTACTGTGATTTCAGTTTAAATGCAATGCCGACTGTTGAAATTTTGTTACGTTCGAGCTAAATTGTAAGCTTGCACCGGGTAGTCAAAAATACCCCATTTAAAGTCCTTCCGCAGATTGCATACATTGAGACATTTTAAAACAGAGGTTTGAATTAGTCTCTCAAACATACTTCTGATGTTGCGGTTTTCATCAAACTACAATCTTCACCAATCGATTGATCAAAAAACGAATACTCTTCTTACTAAAAGAGCAAATGTACATTACTCATTATAGGATCTCAACTGGATGGCAATACGTGTTTGTTTCGTGGGATTATCATCACCTGGCTGCATGCAAACCTATGTGGGCGTAGGAGAAGCAGATCGTTTTCACTAAGCAACTAGACGTAAGACGTTCTGTTCATCCAATTGTGGAGTGTTTGTTGGTGTGACCGAAAATGGAAGGGCACGACTCGCTTTTACTCGGGTGGTACCCGACGCCAACGACCCCCGCCTACCCCTCGGTTGACCTTCCTCCGGGCCCACAAGCTCCATCCACATCTAATCTCGTCCGCCTACCGCCAGGAGACTATCCGGATTTGCGGACGCCGATAATTCAGCAACATGAGCCAGGCGAGACGACCGCGGCTGGCACAACGAGTAACGGGGCCAATACGACTGCACAAACCGCAGGTCCAACTTCTGGAACCGCAACGGCAGGTACGAAAACAAGCTTTCAGGTTTAGCCTAAGCGGATGAATGTGGAATATGATCTCCATGTTCTCTCTGAAGAAACTATTAATAATAGGACAAGTCGCCTTAACTGACTTGTGCACTTTTAGGGTCTTTGAGGAAGTTAATATCAGCCACCCCGCTTCCTGTCCAGTCACTTTTTTTGGCTGCTGTTAAGTTCAATCCGTTGAATACTCGAGGGATTTCTATGCTCTTCGAACTAATAGTTGTATTATCACAAGTTTCATAGTACCGGTATGACATTTTAAATAGAATACAGTATCATTCTCAGGAATCATTCTCCTATGTGTTAATTAGCCTAACTCTAGCGTGTGCTTACTACAAACGTAATGTTTCAGCTACTAACTATTGCAATTGCCGACTGTTGCAGGAGGTGGTGCTGGTCCTGCGACAATTCATCTACCTGCAGCTGCAGCCCCAGCTGCCGCTACTGGCGGAGGGGGCCCGGGGGGCGAAGCTGCGATTGTTGTTAACGTTGCCGGTCGGATGGGCTCAGCCAGTAGTCAACAGAATGCCCAACAACAGCAGCATACGTTACATCTGTCGGGACATCATATTGTTACTCCATCTGTAGCTCAACTGCATGTAACTCAAGCTGGTACAGCCGCAACAATGGTCAGTGGTACTAGCAGTCAACTGGGAGGACAGACAACCGGAACTGGGGCACAAGTCCTTCAGCAGGTGGTTGCCCAGGCTGCCGGAGGAGGTCACCAACTAGTACATATGGTTTTACACCATCCTGCCGGAACGGGTCAAACAAATAGCGCTACAGCTGCCGTCAGCATGGGTGGAACTTTGCAGATCGGAGGTACGTATGGTAAACCAAGCCGTCAAAGGTCAGTCAGGTTTGGTTAGTACGACTACACTTGTGGGTTTTTGTTGTAGGCCTATGGTGCAGTGTTTAGCGTTTAGAAGCATGTTTAATGCCTATGTAGTACAACATTGCAGTTAACTGGTTTTAACTAGCATGCGCTTCGGTTTTTGATTGGATATGTCAGGCCTCGCTTCCGTTGGTAGCGGCGTTACCGTTCAGGCACTAACAGCCGGAATGCCCTCCGGCGGCCTTGGAGGAGGCGGAATCGTAAATGTCGGCACCTTGGGCGTCCTAGAGGGAGAAGAAGCCGTTGGAGTTGAGGGTGGACCTCCATTTCGTTGTGAGGAATGTGGCCATGTAGCTAAAACAAAACGGATGTTGAAGAGACATTTGGCCACTGTGCACTCGCAAGAAAGGAACTATCCCTGTCCGTATTGCGATGCCAAGTAAGTAATCTCACCGTAAAGTTCCGTGTTTCCATTATGTGTGTACTACCCTCTCCCCCCCCCCCCACACACAAATACAATAAGCTGGTGTATGTGTTGTTTAATTTAGGCTGTGAACTATATAATGTACAATAGTGCCAATCACGTATATTTTCATGCGAAAAACAAGTCACTATGGCTAATTTTGTCAATTTGGTTATTCTACGTTCATTTTTTTATCATAGGGGCTAAGTACCTCCTATAAACTGTACGGGTCTTTAACTAGGTATTTACATATACTTGGGTGGGTTTTTTCTTAAAGAAGCGGAAAAGGTAGCAGGATTATTGTGAATGACTGGCAACTTACGTACGATTATTTTAGATATTTTCAAAATTAATTATTATGTATATTGATTACGTGCAATAAGATGTGAATAGTAAAAATATTACTTAAAATTTTCATGTTGTTTTTTTCCGATCAACTTAAGCATTAATTTTTTTTTGTCTGTCTGTGTGTTAGACTTTTACAGTATCAGGCGGACGTATGCAAAGGCTCGTTTGTAGTAGACTCATAACCCATGATACTTCCGTTGCTTTAAGTAAAAAAAACATCATGGTTCACATTTCATTTACTTCATTTAATTAAATACGTGTTTATTTATTTGAGCTCAAGAAAACTTAAGAGGTTCGATTTTTGTGCATTTGCACGATGGTGCTTAAATTGGGCTACATTAACAAAATTCGCAGCCCAGACGCCTGGCTCTATCCCAACAGTATGCGTTCGTCGGAAATTCTTATTTAAAAATGTGCTGAATTATGCAGTAGCGTACTTTTTTACTGCCTATCAATTTGTCTAAGCTGATTAGTGAAACTGGGCAGGCATGATACGCTTACTGAGATTTGAAAATATTAGCCGAGTTTTTATTAGCTTGGTTTATTTATAAATATGCCGAAACATTGGTCTTTGACTTTATCATGGTACTATAAAATCTACGTCGTTCGGTGAGCCATTGAATCAATTGACAGTCTATCCTGGTTTGATCATGAACTTCGTACATCTGAACCGAACCTATCGTATTCAGTACACTTGTTTATTCTAACTGAAGTGACATATTTACTTAACTCTTATTGCTGTATGCAAATATGTAGTTGTGTAATGCACGTCAGACAGTGTGAAGGGCACGATGGGGCAAGGAACGAGGACCACTACCTACATTTCCTACTATCGGACACAGGCAGTAAACTGTTAGAGCAGCGTACTTTGACGGAGTAGCTGTAACTACAGTTAAAAACATCGCTAAACTTCCTTTTGGCGTACCGAACATGTAGACGTAGACGTCTTTCCCTAGAAGCATAAATGTAATACTATGTACTGGAAAAAGTATTATTTTGCAATGGTCTATTGTAGCGCAGCTGGCGAGAATCAGGCAGTGAAGTAGATCATGTGATGTACCTAATTATAATAAAAAGGTAATAGTAATATTTGAAACTCGGCCTGCCCACTGCCACCAGTCGTTAGCAGACTAGGCTAAAAATATTGGAGGGGATTCCAGACCCACCGGCTACTTTTGCTAAATGTGGTCCTTATTCCTTGCAACCCACTGAGTATTTATATGGTGCCTTCGTCTGTCTGCGTTCTAGGTACAAATCGCGCAGTGGTTTGCGCGTCCATAGCATCAAACACAACGTCGGAAAGCACAAATGCGATGTATGCGACAAGTTGTTCCCGTACAAGGGCGCCCTCGAGGAGCACATGAAAGTTGTGCATGAAGACTTTCGTTTTCGATGTACGTGGGATGGGTGCGAATTCAGCACGACCAGCAAATATTTGCTCAAGGGTCACGTTAGCTACAATCATGAAGGTGGTAAATACGTCGATAACAAATTCCGAAAGAAGTGTCGGTTTTGTGAATATGTCGGCTACGACATTCGCGGCCATGAAAGCGCAATGCACGGATTAGAGCCACGCTTCGAATGCCCCACATGTGGGAAGAAGTTTCATTTTGGCAGTAATTTGCGTCAGCATAAGAAGGTTCACCTGCCTGTTGACCAATATCCATTTGTGTGCCATGTTTGCGGCGATCGATTTCTTCGGCGACGGCAGCTTGAGGATCACTATATTGGTAAACACACGAATGAGAAGCCACATCTCTGCGTCAAATGCGGATTCTCTTGCGCGTCACGGCGCACAATGAGCGACCATGCGGCCGCTAATTGCTACGAGAAAGAAGCTGCGATGAGATGCAAGTTCTGCGCTTTTGAAACGAAAATCCCGTTCACGATGCGTACGCATAAAGAGGAATGCCATCCGAAGCACATAGTTAAACGCAAAAAGCAGCGCAAAGCGTGGCAGAGCGATAGCGGTGACGATGGAGAGGGCGAAGAGGGGCCGGACGAGGATGAAGAGGATGTCACAAACGCAGAACAACAATCCCAGGGGGTACAAAAAGGAGGGAGAAAGAAGTCGTCGAAAGTTTTTTATATGCCTTGGTCGGTCAAGCCTGATCAGGGTAGCTCGGACGCAGAGGTCGGAGACGAAGTTGAAGAGGCACCGACTGCCTTTGTCAAACAGGAACTTTTGGATGGGGTGGCGCCACAGAGTAGCTCTCCTTTAAAAGTGATTGCGCCTGCTGTTGAAGAATCGGCTACAATAGCAGTTAAAACAGCCGAAGGTTTGGAAACAACAGGTGAATCAGTGGCACCGACTGTTAATCCTCCTCGGAAGCGAGGCAGACCTCCAAAATCGCAGAATGGAGAGTCGTCACAGCGGAAGTCACAAGCCAGTAATCGAGCCGTTCCGGCAGCACCCACTGTGCCCTCTCTGAAAGTCACACTGAAGCCGACATTGAAGCCAGCTAAGTTAACGGTTAAAGTTGCGAAGCGAAAAACATTGAAAAAACGGGGTTTGAGGAAGCGCAGAAAGAGCAACTCAGAAGAAGACGAACTCAGCGATGTGGACGACCCAGACGTGTCCGATCTGGATGACGACGACGAAGATGACGATGATTTTGAAGAGGCCAGATTTCTTCGGGAGCTGGAAGCCAACGATAGCGATGAGGGATCGACGAAACGGCGGAGCAGCAGACGGAGAAAAAAGAGCAGTTGGAGGATAAACAATTCCGCTATGTTTGACGACAGTTTCTCCAAATCACATAAAAGAAAACACAAAATGGCTGATGGAAATCGTCCCTTAGCTTCACGAGATTCACGTGTTGCCGACTGTACTAAAAAGGAGCCTCTACTGGCAGGGCAACAGCAGCCTTTAGAAGAGGGTATGAGCGAAGAAGCTTCGATTACAACCGACGATGCCGCTGCTGTGCTAACAAACATTGCTGTCGAGTCAGCTACAGCGACGTTTGCAGTGCCTGCTCCACCCAAACGGCCGCGCGGTCGACCACCAAAGCGAAAGGCTGCATTGGCTAGCCTTGAACGCGTCCAAGAGCCACAACAAGATTTTTTGTTCGAAGAGCGTCTGTTACCTGTGCGGTCAAGTTCTTTGGCTACGAGAAAAGCTTCATCAAAGAAACACCCCTTACAATCTGAAGCCAAAAATACAGTGGCCTCAACAACAGCAACAACGACAGACACAATCGTAGCAAAGACTATAGTTGCCGCATCTAGCTATGATCGGGAGGATAATGTTTCTAAAACTAGCGATGAAATCGAATCACATCTGTTACCTAAACAGCAAAATCAAACTTACGAGAAGGTTGTCAATGACGACGATGACGCAATCGTACAAATTTCATTCGGTGATGAGGACGGTGCGGAAGAAACGCCTTCTGAAGAGATCACCATGATGAACTGTTTTGAGTGTAACATGTTCTTTATTGATGTTGACAAATTTCGGGATCATATGAAAAATGAGCATCAGTTTGAAATGGTTATCACTGCTGACTAAGGGTGAACAAAAATTATCTTTTTTTTCTTTTTATTTTCGCGTTTTTGTTGGGATGATTTAACTGCTTTATAAAATATTTTTTGTTGGATAGTATTATTCGGATAGCCCTGATTTTTATGAGTTTAAGAGCAGATTCATTAACAGATATTCATTTGGAAGCTTGTAGGCAAGCTTGCGAATAATACGAGTAATATGCGACAAAATGAGACTGGGACGGGGTACCTCATATAAGGTGATTTTGCTAGGCTTGGAAATTTATTAGCAATTAAAGCATTTAATTGTGTACTCTATTATCCGATTTTGACAAAAAGGAAGAATTTAATCTTGAGTGGGCGTACAGCAAGGGTTTCTTAGATAATTAGGAAAGTGGATCTTGGACGGGGCATCATCATTAAATAGGCGTTATACCGGGTAAAACTAAGTCTAGCTGGAGAGAAGATGTTTACCAGAAAAAGAACGTACCTATAGGTAGATGAAAGGTCATTCAGTAATAATGACAAGAAAACAACAGAAGGTGACAAAGAAACAATGCATTGGAAATAGTCATGTGCGACCGAAAACGAAAAGACTCTGTCCTGAATCAAATACTAGCACAAATAGCACAAAGTGCTTAAGCATAACGATTTATCCATAGGGTTCATCACCAATGGTGATTGTCGTCGTAGTGTGACAATTACTAACATTGTACATATAAACTTTACATAAATAGTAGCGGTTCGCGGTTAATGGTATGTAAGTGGTTAAGTAGCGAACCAAAGGATGTTGTTGTTACGGAATGTACAAAGATAAAATCACCATCCTTTATATTGTAGATTATATATGATTTGTGCTATTCTTAACATTTTCTTTGCGATTTACGTACCGCTGACATGATGATTTATTTAGTTTGTACAAATATAAAAAAATTGTTGTATGTTGAGATACAAACGACGGACGCAGAACATACTCTGCGGTACTATATTGATATAGTTTTCCTGTGAAGGCAGTGGACGGCGTTCCTCTTACACAAAGCAATTGTCGAAGTGCGCATGTTAAGATAAAGATACTCACGATCATATTCTTATTACAGTTGCTATTATGAATATTATTTGAAATATTACGCTCTTACAAGGCCGTTCTTCTACTTAACGGCGATATTATTAAACATATGGTGATAGCAGCATTGAAATATCTAATGAATCAAGGAGAGCACAAATTACGTAAAATATTTTTAGAAATTAATGAAGAATGTCTGTCTCTTTCGACATGCCTGTACACTCCTTACAGTTACCTGAATAGAAAGAATAAATAAATATCAAAAACAACTTCATCTTCACTTGATTTCCGGTTATCGTACCAAATACCATTTGAAGTGTGTGTTGAGCTCGTAGCTACTTGATGTTTATCTAATTATTAAAAATATTAGAACAGGTATTTAAATTAAGGCTAGTCCCTCACGTTAGCAATAGACGTGAAGTTATCTCAACATTAATAAGTGTATGAACGCTGTAATGGTATACGTGATACAATGAAATTGGCTGCATACACTTTCGTTTCTAGACCGACGTACTCCTGGGTATTCGCTTAACGAGTGACCATAGGCCATTACTCGGGCCAGCATTCGTTATTGCGATTATAGAGAAAGCCTTCTATTTGTAGTATTGAATCTGAGAACAAGCTTGAAAGCTCTGTTTGTTTAAAAATAAATTTCACTATCTAAATGCGAATTTACGGAACAAAGGACGAAAGTAAATTGTATAAAAGTCTACGTTTAAACCCGCCAGGCTTTAATTTTGCATGGCGTTCAGGACACGCTTTGGGGAATGGCGCATCAATGTAGGAATAATGAAGCAACTATGAGTTTGCAAATTTGTTGCCGTTCGTATGCAGTGCTCGTAAATCGAATCCTAAGGGGGAAAATTGCTTTATTATTGGAAACCCTATTTAATTTAGCATTTTGATTGCCCACCAACGTAAGTTCCTTAGAGAAACTGACGTGGGAGAATGAGGGATATTTTGGGATATGTATTTTGACTCGTAGGCAAATAGTTACTTTATAAATTCGGTTGGTGACAAAAATAGAAATTCAGTAGACTTTTAGATTTATGAATTCCCTCATTTTCCTAAAGAAATATTCTACTAAACATCATACCGTGTATTCGGAAATTCACTAGTCTTTGGCACAATGACACTACTGAATGAAACAATGTTCTGCACTTAGATTGAGCGAAAGATACCGTTTTTACATTATTCAGACCATTACATGTATCGGAGACGAACTAGATTTTACTTTAAAAATAATGCTTTGTTCATACACTTCTCTAGTTGATGCAAAATTACTGAATTACTGAGGACATTAGAGCAAAAAATGGTGCTGATTTTCTATCCACCCTTTGGTAACAAAAGCCTATATAGTTCGAATATCTCTAAACGATTGGAAGTCTCTTATGGTTTTCTGCCTCGGTAAATACCATGCGGTTTGATCCCGTGGTAGCGTTATTCGCAATTTTCTCTCGAAATAGATACGTGGTGTCTTGTACCGCGCCTATTATTCATCTGTGCGTGTACATGTATATGTCAGTGTATGGGTCAATCTGCCACCCCCGATGTGGTTGTTGTTATTTTTGCTGTTGTCGTTGTTTTCATTGTGTTGTAGGTTCAAATTAAGCGGACACCTGAACGAGCACCTCGCGGGTAAGCACAACATCGGCAAATGTACGTGTGACCAATGCGGCAAGCTGTTTAGTACGCCATTCCGACTCAAGCAGCATACAATGCTGGCTCATCAGGACTTCCGATTCGCTTGCGGCTACGATGGTTGTGACTACAAGAGTAAATATCAGCAACAACTGAACAAGCATGTCCGATTAAAGCATCTCGGAATGGATTTAGCAGCGGCTAGCGGCCGACGAAAGTGCACGATGTGCGACTTTGAGGGCTACTGTCTCGCAGCCCACGTGCGTGCCGTGCACACTAAAGAGAAGCCCTACAAGTGCCAGCACTGCGACCGAACTTTCAGTGATCGAAATAACCAGCGGGCTCACGAGCACCGCGTCCACTCCAAAGACCGTCTGCGGCATAAGTGCAGCTTCTGTGAGCAAATGTTTTATACGCCCGGAAGGCTACGCGAACATATTGCAGTGCGTCACACTCATGAGCATACACACCTGTGTGAGAATTGTGGCTTCAGTACGGCCGTGGAGAGAACTTATCTTCGTCATCGGAAAAGTAATTGTAATTTCCATGAGATGCCTCTGAAATGCCCGCGTTGCGATTTTACAACCCATATACCATTTCTATTTAAGACTCATAAAGCAGCTTGCGAGCCAGACGCCGACGAGGGCGAAAGCGGTGAATGTAGGCTGACAAACAAAGAAAGGAAGCAGCGCTTAAGAGGTGGTGCACGGTTACGAAAGGTCAAACTGAAAGTGGAGGAACAGGATATGCCATGGGAGAACGAATTTCGAAGTCCCGAAAAATCGAGTGTTATCAAGCCAGTAAGCGTAAGAATAGCTTTGCCGGCTAAGAAGCGAGGCACAAAAGGCGTTCTCGTGAAAGATCAGAGGATGCACTGGACAAGCAGCGAGGACGAAAACGAAGAAGATAAAATCGTTCAGACGGAACCGAACTTAGACGTTCGACAAATCGGAAAGAAACCAAGACCGGAAACCAAGCTTGGAAATGGCCAGAGACAGACAAGGGCCAATTCTGACTCTACTATGGAGCAGAAAACTAAAATAGAACTGAATCAACAAATGAGTGAGAAGGTAAATTCACCGAAGAAACAGCACCGGCAGTCAAAAGTGGTAAAGAAATTAGAAGAGACCTTGTTTCGCACGGCGCGGAAACACAGTAAAGACGCTGTGCAGTCGAGAACATCGTTCTTACCAAAAAGAAGGAGTGCGCGCATTAAACCGCCAAAGACTGATAAAACGAGCCATGCTGTTGACTCCGACTCTGATTACACGCCAAGAAACCAGGCACAAATATCTAAATTTCCAATAAAAAGAAGACAACAGACAATACGTAGGATGGCGAAGTGCGAACGATTAGACGAACTGCCGGCCGATTGCTTCACCGAGAATTGCCCATCTTCGAAGCCAGGCAACGCGGCCTGCACCGAGGTCGCGCCCGTAAACGCCAATCGTCCTTCAGCTAGCCAAAAGGATACTGAACGATTAAAAGATAACAAAGACAAAATATTTGCTCATAACGATGATGATGACTGTTATAATAAAGGGACAGTAGAAGAATCCCCGCAGATATATTTTGAAATCAAAGCAGAGCAGGGATGCCTATCGGAACAACCCGACATAACTTGTAGGTCTTACAGCGGTGATACTAATTCGACAGCGAATGGCGAGCAAAACGTCGAAGAGGACGAAGTAACCATTGAAACAAACAATGAAGACGCGAATAAGCCCGAGGCGGATGAAGTAGAAATGTTTGCCTGTCCACAATGTGATACGTTCTTCGTGAGTCAGGTGAAGTTTACGTCCCATATCGTCGAAACACATGTAAACAAAGTGAAGATACGGGTCGGCTCTAAGGAGTGGAAAAAAGCTTACAAATGAACATTACAATGTAGTTGAAGTATGTTATTATTAAAAATTATACTCGCATTTTTTTGTTTACTAAAAGTAAACGGTTTGTTATTGATTGCACATTACCACGTAGTTGTTTTTACTAAAAATTTGACTTTATGTAGGTTGTCCTATTACCGACTTGCGCAAACGACAGCTGTCAATCAGTAAGTTTTAAAGCTTGCCCTGTATTATTTCTTAAGTATTGTCTTTACGTGAATGTGTGATTGGTTTTGTGTTTTTCTTGTACTACACTGTGTGGTCATTTTTCATGTTTGGCAGTTTAGGACTATAATAGTTATATCTTCACAAGTATTTTCTTTTGCCTACAATTAATAGTGCGAAAAGCCAAGGTTGACTCAATTATTGATGACTGATGCCTGGTGTGATCAAGTCGTATTGGTGATTTTGTCGTGATAATAAAACTCGAATTTATAACAACGATACCTATACACAAATAAGCTCTTTTTGTAGGTCAAAGTACGTTCAGCATGTGCGCAGCAAGAATGAGCGGCATATAGATTTCACCATATGTTTGGTTGGTTGATCAGTTAAATTTAATTTTAATGCGCCGTTATGACCTATTAGAAGGTGAACTCAAGTTCAGTCTTTATAAAATGTTGTTCAGAAGTGACTGCTGCAATCTATCATTTTTATTTTGGTGAATAGAATATAAGCTAATGTGAGTCAGTTCCTTAGAGCTGAGAAATGTCTTGAAATACTATACAAGATTTATAGTGAATGTAAGTGAGCTGTTGTAAAAATCACTTTTAGCATCCGCACTGGATTTCGAAAGTGATAACACTTACAATGATTTTGGCCTACGATTAAATGCGCCGAAAACTAAAGAAGGACCGTCTTCTCAAGTATTTCTGTGAAGCTATTGATTTAATTAATCATTTCCTTTTTGGGCATTTCTGCGCTTACAGTGAATTAATAACACCGTGTGTGATAGCACACCCATTAAGATTTTAACCCAACTTAACGTGGGGAAGAATAGAAAATAAAATCAGCATAAATAAGATGTCGTGGCTAAAAAGGTAGTGACAGAGCAAACCTGCCAAGTAAAGCGATATATATGTATATATATATCGCTTTACTTGACATTATATATATATATATATATAATGCGTTTGTAAAACCGGTTTGGCGAGAGCGAGAGCCTTATTGAATAAATTGTATGCTGTTACGTCTCGTGCATAATTGAAAGCGAACTTTCATTGAGTTACAGTTAGCAGCTCAACGAAAGCAGTGATGGTCGTAGTAATTTAATAAATTAGGCAAGGCTAATTAAATATACAAGGGTGCCGTATATATATATACGACATTCTTCTAGCCGTGTGTAGCTACGATGCCCTATAACAAGAATGGGAATAAATATATTTTTATTTACCAAATATACGGCGTTTTTAATGTAACTTCAACAGCCATTGCTCTGAGCACTTGGCTTTACTCAGGAGGTCGAACAACAACAAATAATAACAAAAAAATTTCTATCTATTAAGGTCTCAATGATATACTAACAAGACAAAAAATCTATCCATTCTATGTTTACGAAATTTTTAGACAAACTTTCGGCCTTGTTACGTTGTTGTGGTCGAAACTTGAGAAATGTTAAACTTGTACTACGTATACGTATACGGGTCTTTGATGTTCATTGCGATGCAAACCCTTTTAGTTAGACGATGACTCTTAATAGCAAATACATCTGTATACGATAGTAAAGGCGTTGGTAAATACTTGTACCGCTTATTTTTGTCAGTCAAGGAGCGCTGGTCCGAGCTCATCATTTTAGTGGAAACTTTTAGATGGCGGGACCGGCAGGTTCTTTAAGGCTTCCAAATTGGGCCACAAGCGGCAACAAATTAATGATCAAACTGTTCTGCTTTTCCCTACTACTGATATTAGTTGTAGGATCATTGCTGGTGTTTGCTGCTGCTTCAACCATGTGTCTCTGTCTATATCAGCCTCTGTGTTGAAGTACAGCGTGTCTATTATGATTATCGTTTCAGATTCAGCCAACAAGGGCTGCGCGCAGTGCACGAGGAACGTGCGCATGGCCTGGGTGACCACGTGTGCGACCGTTGTGGGAAGGCGTTCGCCGCGGCGTCCCGACTGGCCGCTCACGTTCGAGCAGTTCACGAGACCGCGCGTCTTCAATGCCCCTTCGAGGGTTGTGAATACGCGGGCGCTTCATGCAGCAAATTCCTTGAAGATCACGTTCGAGCTAGACACACTCATGAGCGACCTTTTCTCTGTTCCGACTGTGGGAAAGGCTTCTCATCTCGGACGAACCTACGGTGTCATGCTCAGAAGCATCGGCAGGAGGGCCGTTTCATCTGCCATCTTTGTCCGAAACGATTTACCTGGAAAGCCAATCTTATGTCACATATCGAACGGCATAATAATCCTGACCGGCAGTTCCAGTGTGAATTTGAACAGTGTTCTTTTACAACAAAATCAGCGAAGTACCTGTGTGAGCATCGTAGGAAACATACGGGGGAGTTTCGTTTTGCCTGCAATCGCTGTGATCGCAAATTTCAATACCAGTTTGACTACAAACGACATCTGAAGAGCCATAAGAGCTCAGTTATGGAGAGCAATAATGATGGTAAAGAACAGACAACGCGCAAGGAATACAACTGCCACCAGTGCGACTTTCGTTCGCGATACTGGACCGCCATGACGAAACATGTTCGTTCCCATAACGATGACAATGACAAGCGTTACGAATGTAGGACTTGCGGTAAGCAGTTCTTGTCAATGTACCATTTTCAAATTCATATGCTGTTGCACCGAAATAAAAAAACACGAGGATCCGAAGGGGATACAGTGCATAGCAAGCCCCGTTGTGATCGTTGTCTAGTGTATTTTAACTCAAAGGAAGAGCGGCTAACACATTTGGCTGACTGCAGCGGCAGTGCAGACCGGACGCCGATACTGGACAGTAAACAGAGATCGGACTATCTTAGGCTACACGACTATGCTTTCAGAATAAGCGGAAATAAAAGAAGCGGCAACAGCATCGCCAACAAAAATGGTGCTTACTGTAAAAATGAAGCTTCATCTCGAGTCAGTGAGAAGATTCCTAACGAAATTCGGGTCTGCTCACCCGCACCTTTGGACCCTGTGGCGTACCAGGCCGTCGAACCGTGTCCTTTCTGCGATCAGAACATTGTATCGCTAGCAATTGTTGATCATTTCTGTACTTATCATCCCCTTAGAAATCCAGCGCAAATCATAGAGGCAACGCAAGAAAGGTTAGACACTATCCGCTGCATTCAGTGCGACGCGGAGCTAGCCCTAATGGATGTGTTGACGCACGTCTACAATAAACACGGTGGAGACGAACTTGCGGTGTGCGAGCACTGCTGTCGAATGTTTGCATCACAAGCGGAATTGCTACGTCACGTGTATAGCCATATTGCGCCATCACTTGCATGTGAAAGCTGCCCGTTCAGGACTAGATATCAACAGAGTCTAGAATTACATAAAGAACGCTTTTGCTTAAAAACTGACAACTCTAAAGAAAGCCAGAGTTCGCAGTCGAAACCGCAAAGGCAATTTTATGATTTAAAAAGCTTTTGTTGTGCCTTCTGCACCCGTAATTGGTCATCAATCAAAGAGTTAGTGGAACATATATGGGAAAAACATGTCATAGGAAACGTAGCGTTGGCCTTGTTCGCGTGCTACAACTGTGGTTTCGCCACGAAGTCTTTGGATCTCTTTCGGGACCATAAAGTGCGCTGTGAAAGTGACACGGTAGCAGGATTTAGAATTAGCCAAGTCGGTATCATGACTATTGATCAGAACAATAAAGAAGTTCAGGTTAGTAATAATCGCGTTTACGATGTCAGCACTAAGATAACCTTGTCTGCTGGCGGAAGCCAACGTAGAAAAATATCATCAGCAGCGATACATACACAAACCTCGAGAAAGGGCGCGAAAACAATGTCCATGGCGAATTCTCCAAAAAAAAATAACAAAGATAGTGCCACGTAAAATTCAGTCAAGTAAAGCAAATAGCAAAACTAAAGGTACTACGACCGTGATGTTATGAATAGAAAAATCTTCTGATGGAATTAATGGCCTGAATGAGGCTAATTTAGTTATAGATAATATAAACTTTGAAAATCTTTTAGTATATACTACGGTTAAGATTCATTTTACTCCTCATAGCTTTCATCAGTATTTAACTGTACAATTGTATAGATATTTGTATATTTTCACGTCTTAACAACATTAGCAAAACACGTAATATTTGAAGCTTTGTCCTTTCGTTGGAACTTGGCAGTGGTGATCATGAACAGGCAAATAAATAGTCGGAATTTGTGTTAATGTGAACATCGGTGTCTTATATTATTCTGAGATATTACATGCACAACTCTTGATTTCTACAATCGATTTGGCTCGAGTAATGTTGGATTACGAAGCACAAAGTAACTCAATCGCTTTACATGTGTCAAGGCTAACTTATTGAAATACATGGGCTTAGTAAAAAAAGTCTCGACTTGATCAAACTTTAGGTGACTTTAGATGAAAAACGAAAATATGTATGAACAAATTCGCGAAAAATCTGATCACTTGACCAAGTACTATTTCCAAAATTACATAAGTAATGACTGTTCGCTCAATCAGATATCCAAGATATTCCCCTTGAGGCTAAGTCTGTACATTACTTGGAGTCTCTCCATATACAGTTTTACTCAGAAATTTTATCAATCGATCTTTTCCTGCAACGCTGGGAAGTTTTACTATCATTGTAACGCATGTTTTAGATAGGATAGTGTGCTAGCATTATAGACCGTAGTTGAGCTGCGATAGAAGGGAACCTGGCGTACGTGACTGTTACTGTGACACTGATCCTGCGTTCAAATGACGCAACGATCTGCTTTTTTGAGTTTTATAAGTATAGACACCTTTTGGTAAAAGAGTGAGATCTAACGAGGAAAAATGCAATACCGATTAGTCTTATCTGACCTAAACCTATTACCTTCCAAAATTACGCGCTTATTAGTATCTCTTTAATTGTGAGAAAATTTTATTTTTACGTTATCTAAAAGAAGATCAAGAACAGACGAACTCAAAACAAGTTGTGTAATATAGCTTTTATTTACAACTATTTTTATTAAAAATATCTTGCTTGGTCATGTATGACACAGTTTTATCTATAGTTTATTTATTGTAGGCAAATACTGTAATCTATTTATTAATTTTATTGCTGTATATACATAATTGTGTTAGTGTTTTTCATTATCATTCAGGAAGTGGATTATTACGTTAGCTCATAATTAATACGCGGAATAATAGTGTTTTGCGATACCGTTATAGCATTTCTTAGCATAGACTCTCGCGCGGTCGAACTATACGCAATACCAAAAAGAAGTATCTCATTTTGATTGTTAAATGTGAATCAAAACCAAAAGAAATGAATAATATGAACGGAGTTTTCAGAATGACGCATTCAGAGATGTATACAGAAAAACTATCATCCAACAGCCATACAGCAAACCGCCAAAATACAAGAATTCTTTAGAAAGACCGAAAAAGGGCACCGGACTTAAGTATCCGTTTCCTTTTAAGTGATTAGTAGTTTCTAAGTTAAATTTACAACAAGCGTTTACTTTGTGTCAGCTCTGTTATTTTAGAACGCATATTTTTTAGCTTTCTGTTGTCATAAGTCGGAATAAATGCCAACTAATAACTTTAGGCAGCCCCCTAATCTCAGACGCCAACAACGGTTAGTGTCCTTTCGCTACGTATTCGTAATACACTATAAAGTATCTTATTCGGCATTGCTATCACAAACAACTCAGCAGTCTTAGCTCTTGGAAGCTACTGCAAATCTCGCAAAAGTTTACAGGTATATGTGGTCATGTAAACAGCCCTGGACCGCCAACGTGCTTTGAGATTTTCCAGAGCTCGGTAATTTTGATACGGCAGCAGGCTCCGATGACGTTGTAGAAATGCCTGGCTCAGCAGGAGAGACCTCGACGACAACAGTTTCAACCAGGGATGGCTCCACTACGTGAGCTGAATTTCTGCTGCCCCCAGGAGTACGTGATCGCTTTGTCGCCGGCGTAATGACAAACTCATGTACTGTTTGCGTTTCGTCAATGCCAGCTTTACTAGCACGGCCCTTGCCGGCTAATGGTCTCGCTGGTGTTACACCGTCTTGATAAGGCAAAACGACGATCTGCGGCGTTTTCTCGATCGTGTCGGTTTCCACTTTAATTTCGATGGTGTCGTCTGCCAAATTTATGGTTCTACAACCGTTTTGTTTTAAAGTTACGGCGTCTTTTAGATTTTCGTTGGCGACACTTGAATCAACTGTTTTTCTCCGCTTCGAACTTAGCGGTATAGCATTTTTTAAAGCTAAAGCACGTTTTTCAGATATACGATTGCTACGTCGATTTGGTGCTGATACGATTTTTTCTGATGATTGTTCTGCAGGGAGATTCGTCTTTTTAGGCCGGCCTGGTCTTCTCTTAGTTATAGAATTAAGTGGAGCTTTTAAAGGTGATTTAGTTTGCGCTTTAGTGGGCTTTCGCTTTTTGTTCGTGTTCCTCTGTGCTTTAAACACAGCTTTAGGAGTGCGTTTAGTCTTTTTGTTTCTTTTGTTCACAGACAACATTAGCCGTTCGAAGTAGGTTTCTTCCTCTTCTAGATCTGCATACTCCTTCTCAATATCAGCAGGGTTCACTTGAACTTCCTTATTAATGAGGTCACCCTCAACGGCAATATCTGCTATACCATCGTGATCTTCGGCCGCTGATCTTATCTTACTTACAAAACCTCGGAACTCGTCAAGCGGTAGTGGTTTAGGAACATTTTCTTCAACATGAATATTAGGTACAGGACCAGTTGCTTCTAACACCTCAGTGGCATTCTCAATTAGCTGGGCCACTCTTTCTAGATCTACGAAGTGGTCGCCCTGAAAGGTGAGTCATCAGCATTTCATGCATGACCAAATTTTCTCAAACCAAAAACTTTGAAGCAATTCTCAAAACGAACTAGGTCCTTACCTGCAATGCTTGGATCATCCGAGGCACTAGGGTCAAAAGTATATCTTGTACGCGTTGATTGTAATTGATTCGCCCCAATGCGCGTATCTCACGCTCGGGGTTGAACTTTTCTTCAGAATCTATTGGTCGCTCGGAGACAAACATAACTCCGGGCGGGCCTTTACGAAGCGCAACCGCGTGAATATGCTGACACATCTGTCCGTCAATAACATGTGACACGCATGTGCAACCATATCTGTTTGTCGAAATGGAAAATAATAGCCAAAATTATGCAGTATTAGCATCCACTAGTACTATCTACAAAAGGCATTGTGGTGTTTACTAATACTCGGGTATACCAATTCACTCGCGTGGAGCCCACAACATAAAACAGAAGATGTTTTAGAGGACAATAGAATCGTAAGCAGCAAATACTATACCTATGAACACAAACGTCACAGGAAACACATGTCTCCTCGCAGCTCGAGTGATTAGACTTGCGTGGATAGACAACGTGAACCTCATCCCCTTCTCGAACATGACAAACTCCATTTAGCTCTAACACCTACCGAAAGTTGAGCAAAGCGGAAACATCAGAAAGCACTTTACATCTTAGCATTAATTAGAGTAGCACTGTATTAGCCTATCCGCAAAAGAAATTGCCAGAAGGTGGAGGTGTAGACGACCCGAATCATATTATATGAAATACTCACATAATGACGCAACGATTTGAATATCTGCAACCGGTGCCCCCTCTTTTCCCATGTTCGTTTGGTATTGACCTACCGAATATAAAAGCAGCAAGTATCTGGCTGTTCTTGTAAGGAAATTATGGTACCGTTCGAACACACGACGTTTGCCTTTGAGTAACGTCAAAACACCCACCGTTTGGCAAAAAAGCCGTTTTGAAGTAAATACTTGATGCTTTGTGTGATAAATAAACATTTTATGAGCAATAAAAGCCCACCCTTCATACACCTATATGAAACACAGTCAATTAATTTGCCTTCAATATTGGTCCAGTAAGTAATTTACCTGTTTGATACGCGATTCAGCCCATTGATGCTTTTCAGTTTTCTTTACTACAGGATGTTCCTCCCTATTAAGTTTGGCTCGGATTACCTCGACGAGCCTTCGCCGTGCCAAATTCAAATCGCGACTGAAATCCACTGTTCGCCACCACTCATAGGCGCGCCTGATTTCCGGGCTGCCAATAAAAACATACGAGACGATGTTAAATTGAGAATCAAAGCAACTGGATCAATATTGCCTTTCTTTAACAAAATTTGTTGGCTTTAATCATAAATAAAAAAATGCACAGGCATGTACTTGCGCAATCCGTAACGAAATGCTGTTCTAGCGATGTCTCCGAGGTCGAGAACATGCAGCCTTCTAAGCGGACCTCGTCCGTCAAAGTTGCGAGCAACCTCAGCCATAATGTCTTGAGGATCCTTTCCAGCTTCCAGTTGCTCTCGTAGCCACTGCGAATCTTCCTCGGTCATTCTAATAAAATACGATATCGGGTATGGGATATAAAGTAAGTAGTACAACAAAACAAATTAGCCCGATTAGAATTAACGACCCTAAACTTGCACAAACAGAGGTAATCGTTGAATGGTATGTACATTTAAAGACTCCCATTTTCAGGTGATACAAACTGAAAGATGTTTCAGTAGGTAGGTTTTTCTCGTCAATTTCACTTTGCGCGAAATGTTTAATTATTTTGTCATCCTAACTCTGATACGTCTTACTGCCACTATAATTCCTAGCATACACTATTATAGTTTTACCTAGCTCTGATTTACCAGAACAATTTTTTTAAAGACAGTGATATATACTATAAAGCTGTCATTATATTTCGCAGCAACTAGATTTAAAGAACTTCATTCTCCTTAAATCTATCAATGACCGAAACTGCTGCAACATACTTTACATCAAGAGGGGACGGCGTGTGTCCAATGTGTGTCCTATAGAATTTAACATGGATTCGACCGCTACCACCTCTGGTATTATCACGTCCATCAACAAGTTTCACATCCATTATCGCAGGGCAAAAATGATTCAATAAGCGAGCTTTTTTTCGAGGCTTTGCTTCACCTTCACACTAGAAAGATAAACAGAGGTATCCTTGTTAGCGGAAACCTTTTAGTTTATCATGGACTTCACCTTATATAACTAATATAATGCTTTTCGTACAATGTGAAACTCTGTTTGTATATTCGACATGAACGTGTAATAATAAGGAGTAGGCTAGACCAAAGACATTGGAAAGAAGCACGGGTCTAGCTAAATTAATTTCGTATAGTTCGTCAATTTTACGTGCAAGTAACTTCGTTTACCTTACGTTCAAAGGCAGCACGTCTCCCCAAAAAACACTGGTAGATTCCCTCGATTTCATGAAGTTTCGACTGTTTATGACGAGAAAACGTTGACATTTCTTCGGTTTCTGTACGGACTTTCCACTTCCAAAAGTCATCCGCAGATGCAAACTCATGTCTGTAGATAAAAAAAAATAATTATAGTGATGTTAGCTTGAAGTCCTCACCACCCTGTATGGCCAAGAACTGGCAATTATATTGCACGAAAACAAAACACTAAAGGTAAACCATCATTGTGACCGAAATGAAACGTCTGTAATTTTCTGAATTTGAGAAACTTAAAAAAATCTAACTTAAAAGAATGGAAAAAAACAACCTACTCGGAAACACTGAGGGGCACATGATGATGATCGATAATGTGCTGAAGGCACTTGCGACGCCACTTGAAGTTCTCTTTGCAGATGGGACAGACAATTGATAACCCGGATATTTTAGAAGTTGTTTTCACGTGTTTAGGTACGCTGCAAAGGCAAGACAAAATATATTTTTCCCTTGATAGTTAATTTAGCTTCTTATTAAGCTATTTCTATTATATAACTCTGGCGCTGTGAGCCTAGAAATATTTAGAGCAAGCCTTTTTGGAACCCAATTTGTATGACCGCAAAATATACTTTGACACCCGTTTAAGACACTTCTATGCAGACAAAAACTGTACGTTTAAGTACAGTTGTTGTCTGCATACGACAATCACTTACATGCGTTGACCTTCAGGTAGATGGTGAAGTTGCATATGACTGAATAGGTTCCATTTACCTAGCATTTGCGAGCCGCAGTCATCTACCGGACAGCAATAACCTACAAATAAGCAGTCACAAAAACATGTCCATGAAGAACAATTACGTTAATCAGCACCATGTGTGTTCAACCAAGGACTCTCCAAGATATGATAATAATTTAAGGCTAACTTCGGATGTACGGAAGCACATACTTACGGAGTTTACCATCTACCATAACCTGCTGGTGGGAATCAAAAACCTTGCGGATGTTTTCGGTTGTGATCGGCATTCTGCAAACACATTTTTGCTCATTATTCTTGATGGACTCTTAACCTACGTAAATAGCAACTACTGGTCATTAATGTTTTTCTAAAATTTCAATTAAGATTTCTGACTCAGATGAACTTTATACCAATGTGCGCAGTACTCACTGAACAAACTGGTTTGTATCTTCATCGAGCACAGTTACGTAAGTTTTAAACTCTCGTCTAAACTGCTTTTTGAAAGGTTGTATAGTGGCATAGACCTCTTCGAAAGTAGGCACGACTTCTGGCAGAGGTGGCATGCGCCCTGAAAGCGGACTCGGTGCTTCCGGTTCAGGCCCGTGATTATGGATACCTTGTCTAAACTCAAAAAAAGAAAAATAATCAATCTCAAATTTTTTTAGAACTACAACTGTTATAGTCGTCCAATTTGAAACGTATAATGTTTAGTTTAGGCTGTCTTAATGAGTAATTATGAACGGAAATGTGGATTTCCTAAACCAAGTTTTCAAAATATTTTCGGCGTAAACCAGTAACAAATCCATTAGAAAATCTCTCGTTTAAGCCTGATAAGAACTGTGCCATTTCAGCCAAATCTGCTAGCGATTTTGGCTATGATTAGAACTGTGAACGCTCTTGAGAAATATCTTCAAATTTTATAAAACTTCGCTAAAATTAAAATTTCGAATATATACTATTGAATAACAGTATATTAGCATGTTTGTGCGTTAATCTGAGATCTCCAATCTACAGCTGCTTAATGTCTAACATTCTAGGTTCTAGTAAATGAAATGTCGTGAAATATGAACTAATGATTAGAACCGTTCATTGCTCAACATGACGTTTATTGCATGACTAAATGTTGTTAAGTAGAAAGTCCCTTGAAGTTTGATTAAATGGGGATATTTTTCCGCATTGTTAACTAGTTTATGACAAAAAAAGTTTCTTTTGGGAAATTTCCAACACCGTTCAAATCAGCCATAAAAACCTGGTCTAAGTAAGTTAAATTTTTGGGGGCAATGGAATTTCTGAGTAAAGCCTGTGTATGAGAGACATTTCGTGTTTGGGGTTCTGAATATTATTAGTATTTGAGCGTCTACAACGTTATAAGTACACTTGCCGATCATGTTTAGCAAACACGAACCTGGTAATGACAGTTCCGTCTCGATGGTGTTCTAGTCGAACTGGACAGGGATGTGGGAGCTGTTTAATATAGGCCGCTCGAGCGCCCCACAAGCATTGTGACATGAAGCGACCGCCTCCGTGATCAAAAACCGAGACAAGCGTAAATGCACCGATTCCCCTGATGATAGTATCAGCGAAGGCCACCACGTCAGTCTCATGCCCGTTTCTATTAGTGGTGCTCCCTTTTTCTATTACCTCATAAGGTCCAAAAAGATCACACCACCAGGGAAAAGGCGGACGGCCATTTTTGGGTTTTGATCCCGGGCCCTGTTCGATTTCGTACACTACCGATGGCTGAACTACAGGTTCGCCGGAAACGGCTCCTTCGCGACTTGTGGAGGACATTTTTGCAATGTGCAGCCCACTGCAAGAACGCACTAGTAAATATGTAAAATTAACACAGAAAACTAATTCCAGCGAAATTTAGCGCTAAATTTCTCACACCCAGGACAATGATTCAGAATACGATCGAAAACTTATCTATGGGTTAACCGTATGTGAATACATATTTGTCAGAACGTACTTTAGTAAAATGTATAGTTGAACGCATTAAAATTTCCATGATGTGACAAATATGACTTTGTACAGTTGTTTTAATATTTATTATTACCATCTAATAGGATCACATAAAATATATATGGAGAGGTGAATGAAAAGTTTAGGCACCGACTTTTAATTTCTGCGAATGATGAAGTAAACGGGACGACATATTATTTATGATTTATTTTACGCCATTTAAAAATCTATTTTTTGGTCATCCAGACGTTTGTTATTGGAGAAGAACATTTACATAGGGCAACTGTTGCAGTTTCTCTGTATGTTGACATCGATTTAGCCACAGTACGATGGCGCTCTACGTGAGCCCCGTATTAGATTCTAATGGAGATGTTCTGTCGTTCGTCAATAGCACCTTGTACCCGTTTCCCATAATAATCGACTTACAAGTTCGCAATTACAAGTTCATTGTTTGGATAGGAGTACGTATGATGTCCATACCTGAATCTTTGTGTCGCGAGAACTATCGACGTTAGGCAAAACTGTACCACAATTTAAATTTGCAAATTATACCTGAGATTGTTGTGACCCTCTAGCCAAATACTTATCTAATACGTACATACCAGTAAGTTTAAATCGATAATTTTTCAATATTTGCAACCAGTGATAAGTGCATGACAACTAAAGTGCAGACGACAGACCCAGCCGGAAAACAAACATGTAGTTGGCGGCAGCTTTGAATATAATGGATACAACAAATGAACAGTACGGCGGGAATTAAATTAGAAAAGATCAAACACCTTATCGTATATTTGTATTTGCAGAGATTTCATTATGTTGAAAGACAAGAGATGCCTTTTTTTTCAATATTTCCCTTTTCTTTTAGCTCTTCGCTCCTTGTTCACTTCTATATACCATTAGAAACTAGTGTTGTAATTTCAGTGGGCAATGAGTGAAATTTACAGTTATTTCAAGCTCCAAAAATAGAAACTTAATATGAAACGAGAAGTGTATTTTCGACAACTGCTATTTTTAATATTTGCTGAAGCAGTTAGGGATATTTTTGCTGTATATAACGAGAATTTGCATCAAGTCTTGAACTTGGAGGATAAATTGCACCACGGGCGACCTCATTGACCTCGAATGGCAAATGGCTGGTTAATTAGCAGAGAAGATAGTTGCAAACGTTAAACTATTGTCAGGAATTTTACATGTATGTCATCTTACCTGAAATAAAAAGCCTGCTTGTGCCATTAAATGGGTAAAGCGTGCAAGCAAGCACGACTTTCGACATGACATTTAGCAACAGGCAACGCTCAGCCACAATGACGCTTCTTGTACAGCATTGTTAGAGATGTCGGGAAAAGGTATTTCTATTTCAATATAAAGCAGAGATAGGAATTTTTAACTTCAGGAAATGCAGTTAAATCTTAAACTAAGGCAAATTTTCATCCAAAAGGGTTACGATTCAATTTACACAGTGTGAAATGTTTGAGACGAACGAGACGGTCCGCAAGGATCATCTAGTGAAGTGCATCGAACTAAAGTGACTAACGGGCTATCTAAGAGAAAAGATCCGACGCACGAGAAAAAAGCGCACTTCGCCACAGCGGTGCTAGACTGCACATTGTAACGGGTGTAAAGGCCTATAAGAGCTTGAGCAGGACATTCTTCTACATCGATCATATTTCCCAGATCTCCCACATCTTACAGTGAAAACAGTCCCAAAACCCAGATAAAGGGAACCTTTTACAAAAAAATCTGAACACTTCTCATGGGAAGGAACAAATAATTTTTCTTAGACCTAGGATGATGAAGGCGAATACATACAAATGTAATTTACTGCTAGAATTCAAATGAAACACTGCCTTTTTTGTTCGGTGAAAAATTATTCATACTCATGTTTCAGTTTAACAATTTAATTTAATTTAAGGATCTCTACCTTAGGGAAAATATATAAAAAAATAAACAATTTTACATATCGCTAAGGCTGATGGTATAATGTGAAAATATTTAATTATCTACGTACGTGCTATAAAGTCAGTAGTACTCAACATGTCCGAAATCTTTACAGAATGATTAAGAATGATACTAACAGCTCTAAAAAACTAAAGGGCATTTAAAGTATTATCATGATTGCTAGCAACAAGCGACAGCGGATCGATAGTGGACGTTTAATTACTTTATGTAAGAGACGCTCGATGTGAGATAAATGTCGTAAACTACATCAGTAAAAGTTCTAGTGGCTTAGTGCAACTTCAAGCTGTTAGAGCCAATCAGTTGTCACTACCTAAAGTTTTAAAGCTTGGCCATTTCCGAAGTAGGAGTTCAATACCAGATACAAGCCACAAATAGTTACCTATTTCAAACTTTTGATTCCGCTGTTATACTGTATAGTCGCCAGTGTTGCCCCATTCTACATCAATTGGCAGCGCTGCGAAAAGTTGGAATGGTTTAATGATCTTTGCCACGTGCACTGTCTGCTACTGCAAAGGTCTCAATCATCTTACCCAATCGCTTTGAACACAGGATATTTTTTTACGTTCTCTTTTCGGAATGAAAGTCGTTTGTTTCTGGGATCCCATTTTGTTTCGCGAATTATATATAACTGTTTGGATATTACTTCTATAACCCTTTTCAGAAACAAAAATAGCAGTGTTATCCCACCTGGCTGGTTATATATTATGTCAAAAGTTTCAATCGACGTGGCGTACTTTCCATATAGCTTATTACCGTAAATCAATTTATCCTCATTCCAAATTAAGTAAATCCTAACTAAATATGTGTGTACAAGTCATATTATACAACCGCCAAATCTAGTTACTATGGTTTGTTCAAGATACATCTTTTAACTTAAAAATGGCACCGTGGTGTCTCAGGTAGTGGATGCTATTTCGAAAGTTCCTTAACGAGGATTAGCGTATCTGCAAAGAAGTAGACCATTCGGTTTCATATTTGGCCATTTAAGTGAAGCATATCGGACTTCGCAGATCGACCAACATGCCTAAAACATCTTCGCTTCAGTTTTCCGTGTGCCTTCAGGGATTAATATTTTCTGCTCGAAAGGCCAGTGTTATTAGCGTCGGCTACAGATGAAATCGGTGCCATCATATAGCACCAGGTCGCCCATGTATATAATAAACTTCGCTGACTTATGCCTGTTTTCTATTTGTTGTCTTAAATGGGCGAGTTATAAAACGATCAGGTGGCGAAGATTGCCCCGTTAGGCAAAACCGTTTGCTTGAATAACTGCTTGGTGTTCTGTTTCACTCTACTTTCTAATATGATACTATTGGACTGTAGTACAACTTAAAGAAGTTGCAGTATTTTCATCGGGATTTCATGGAATGTCAACTTTCTAGCTAACTGAAATCCGTGCTGGTCGTCTGACGAATGCTTCCTTAGAGTCGAAATATATTATGTCGCACCTGTTGTAGATGCAAATATCTTGAGAAGTAGTAGTAACACTGATCTGTCTTATGGATTAACGTCAGGTTATGGTCACGGATGGATATCTGTCTGGAAGTGTACGATCAATTCCACAAAAATGTTAATCATGTTTAGCCGAAAACGCTTTCACGTTGTCTCGGTAAAGGCGTAGCGTTTTTTTCACTTGTTAGTTGTTACAAAGTTCGATTACATAATTTGTAAAACCATTGCTCGTCGTTTTAACCCTTGCTGGGCCGACCCATCATTGCGCCAAGACATTTTCCATTTTTTGTCTCTTTCGCGATTGTTTTTTTTGTCCATCCCCGTCGTGTTAATCCCTGTTCTAGTACAGAAAATAACATACTTAGAGCCACGTGGTACTCGAAATCAGAATTTGAGCATAGCCACACATCGTTTCTGGCTGGGAGTCAGCCTTTTGAAGTAATGCGTAACATATCAGGTACCGGATGTAAAACAGAAAAAGCATGGTCCTCCTCTCACGAAACCTGTTTACTGGGCCCATATAGCCTATCTGTAGGTGTTAAATACCTTGCAAGTTACCTCGAGGATTGAACAGCGGAAAACGATCAAATAGTGTCATGCCGTCGATTACGCTTAAATTACACGTACAGGCTTCTTTATTATGTACATGGGCCTCTAGCAACTTGCATGTTCAATCGTGACTTGTGTACATTGTAATAGTAGTAGTAGTAATGATAACAAAAATAAAAAGTGATAATAACAAAAATAATAAATGTGTGAGGTGAGCGGATGCGCAATTTTATTACTGACTGTGTTAATGCGGAGTATGGCAAACATTCTGGCCCGTCTCATGGGATTACGCGGATCTGATTTAAATGGTTTCGGTATTTTAAATATGAGCGCATTTAGAGAATGGTACAAAAGTGATCGACAACCGAAACAACAGATTAACAGATGTTCTTAAATGCCGCGTTCTGATCTTCTGTTATTTTCTATTTTTGGTAATAGAAATCGGCTAGGCAATAAGCGTGGCTGAATCCTAAAAAACGCACTTTATTCAAATTTGAAGGTACAATGCGCTTCCGATTGATACTGAAATGTTTAAGATAGGAGTCTGAGAAAATATGAAAAGTCTTAGAATGAAAAATGAAAATCTGTTTAAAATTACTGATAAACCTCGTATGTTTTTTTCCTTTATTTACTTAATATGTTACATCGGTTAGGTGCGCTCAATCATTTCATTTACTTTTGCATTCGTTTGTACATACCTAACTATAAGGTTTGACAATCGATATAATAATCACAGTAACAATAATAATAGTCGTAACAAATGCTATAATTATTAATAGTAACTATAAAACGGCCAATTTATTCCGTTTCCACAAGAATTGAACCATGACAGAAACGTCTGCTAGCTTGAATTGCCACATGTAACAGCCCCGTCTGGTCGTAGACGGTAAAACAGAGAATTTATCATAGGCAATATATTACCGGTGCAATACATTTAGTGTTAAGGTCGAAAGTAAAGACAACTCGCTTGAGAGAACAACTTCTGAAACTGGCTATTTCAATAGGAATAAGGATTATTTCTGTCTCTATCTCATAAGAGAACGAATGCGGTTTCGTTCTGATGGTGCTTGTACAGAAGCTTCTAGTGTAATGATGATGCGAATGTAGCAGTATGATGGATGCGCAAGGAAATTTAGCCGCGGCAATTAAACACTCCGTGCAGCCCGTGCACGAGAGCAGCGACGAACGACAAAATCTGGAAATTATTACATACATATGCCATACATAAAACCACTTGGTATTAAGTTGTTATCCGTCTCAGTCGATGGAAGACATCCTATAAAAAAAAATCGACTGTGGTCGCATAAGAACCTACTCTCTACGGCAGTAGCTACACCCTGATAAGCAGGGTAATGGCATTTCATCGATAAGATAATTTAAATAGCCACGATTAGGAAGAAATGCAAGGACTGATGGTCGTTTATTAACAGCTTTGTCCAGTACTCCTGTTATCTATAATCGATAAAAAAAAAACTAAATGCCCTTTATCAATGAGCATGAACAAATCAAAGACGAAAAATTTACCATTGAGACCCAATAGTGGTTCTTGGCCCTCTCTTCCGAGGGGGCGCCGTCCTTGGAAATCGTCCAGATAGCAAGACCAGCATAGAGGACCATGCCGAAGAAGTGGTAGACGTTGTGCTATAGTTCAAAAATACTTCCTTATTAGTTGTTATAGAACACGTTACAAAGAAGGACGACAGTATATGTAACTTGTGGCATATATTGTGTTAGTTGGTTAGGGGACGTTTTCTTGTCCTACGATTCTTCACGGTGGTTTCAGGATCAGATTATTTTATATAGAGTTTATTATTACTATTATCAGAGTTTTTGGATTCCTCAAAATTGGAGTAAATTTCTTTTGCCGATGCAGGCGAACTCAGTGTATGTAGGAAATGCTGTCAATACGAGAACTTCATTTGTGATAAGGAACATGGACTTCGCGTAACGTTATTGCGCTCGCTGATCGAATGAAGACGTGAATTATAAACACGACGGGAATGGAAGAAGTAGTACAGTAAGTAGGTATTTTTCTCGTCATCTTTCATATAAGAAAAGTCGTTTCTTAACAAAAGCAGTTTTGCCGCATGATATGTATATAAAAAAGAGATTATTCGTATCTATTTAGTAATTAAATGCTCATGATTGAGCATTCAGTTAGAATCTCGCATTTTTTCTTATGTGATGTAAACATAACACTTACATAGAAGCTTCCAGATACTCCCTCGCCGGTGAGAGCTCCGGAAAGGATGAGGAAAAAGGAATTGAGAAAAAACATAAAGGAGGTATACTGTAGCCAGTAAATAGGCTCGGAATGAGTAAATGCGTTGTCCTTCAGAATAGAAAAGATTACAACTCCACAGATCTGCAACAATAAAAGTAGACAAGAGGATACAAGTTATAAACAGTTCTGCTTAGTTTCAGAATTGTACGACAAGTTATCGAATATAGGAGGCGATACTAATTATTACTCTCCAATCTATTCAGCCTATCAAAACGGCGGTACTAAACTCGACTGCCGTATATGAACTTCACTCCTGTTATATTGTCGGGGTTACATTATCGCCTAAATTGTTTTCTTTTTACTAGCCTTTCGCGGCGCCCCCACCTGTGCCCCTTTTCTTTGCCCATTATGCAGCCTATCGATTTAAAGGATTCAGTCAGATTTGCTAGTCATCGAAAGCAGAACCCATCTCCTTATGCCCATCTCTCAATAATATTTCAATAATGCAGATCCACATGACAATGTTCGCGTTCGCGCTCAGGATCATATCACAAGATCGCATTCAAACGAGTCTTTCGACCGCATTGCTGTCACCCACAAAGTTGGGGTTGAGCAATCTTCTCAGGCATAGCAAGTTGTTCTTTTCCGCTGTTTTCGTTGATGCCGATGAAGTGTACTATGAATGGGCCGTATCGAGTGTGAACGAAACGACGATCGTCCACCAGGCAGATGTCCTAATGCTTCGTAATATACGGCATGAAAATCATGACCGAGCGTGGATTACAGATCACGCACTGAGGCTGGATTGGACTTCTTCACAGAACTTTGTTGAAATCATATGCAATAATAATAATTAGCGATTCTTTGCAAGCATGCCGTCCGTGCGTGTTTACCAGTACTATAATTGATTGTATAAGAAATATGCTTATACATAGGCCATGTAGTACTCGCTAATAGACTCGTAACGAAAAAGTAGCTAGCACTCGCTTCGTCGTGCACTTGTCCAAACTCATAGGTATAGGACCAACACCAGCCGTTGAAACCGCCAGTTGGGTCACGCGCTAAAATTGTACGTGCGTTTTTATACGTAAGCCTTTAATGTACACGTCAATAAAAGCCGCAGCTGATAACGCTTGGAAAAGCTAGGCCCTACACCGGGGTCAATCAACTTAAAAAGCATGCGGACACCGGCTGCCCTATAACAGTTACTTTGAAAACTTTAGCACTAACCGTTGTGCACAGTTTCAATTTTTAAACACGGGACCTGTATTAACATAACCTTCTTACTACATAAAAGTTTGTCTGCTCGCAAGAGTTACGCGCCTTTTTTCTATTTGCCTGTTCATACATATCATCTTATCATACGTCAAGCTACGCTGCTGAGTTACGAAATATTTATACTCATTCTATTTTATGAATATTCCGTCTTTATGCGCAAATTCTGCAAATAGGAGTAACAAATTAGCCTTAAAAAAAATTAATGAAACTCAACATCGATAACTTTGCTTTGTTTACTTTGTTATTTTTATCGCCACCGTCAACAATATTACCCTGTATCAATCTTCAATATTTTTCAATTAGAAGATATGAGCTTTGTCGCAAAAACGAGTCTTTTTCTCTATCTGTCATGCGATAATAGCTCTTCGATTGTTCCTTTTATATACACTCAAACATACAGCAGTTCTTTATTATACGCTCTTTTCTTGACTCGTTGTTATAATCGTTAGGGGGCGTTTTTGCTTTTTGTTATTGAAAATGTTGTTCGTCGGGCGCTATTGTCAATTTTGTTGAGACGATAAATCTGCGAGTGACATCCATGCGCGACTATTCACAGACAGACATCACCGGTATCATCATTATCCTCATGATTGGTAAGTGAAGTCAATTGTTCTGGAAAAACCATTAGGTTCTTGTAACTGGTACCAACAATGCTCTGATTGTTATTGTTGCCAACGTTGCTGCATTCGCCTCTGCATTACATCACCTGGACTAAAGACGTACACCTGCTACAAAAGGCCACTTTTCGGACACAGAGAACGTCGAAAAGATGTTTCCGCTCCCGAAGTATTGCCAGTGCTCGGTCGGCAAGCCAAACTATTCGAAGGGTCCAAGAATGATGGTGGGCAGCACAGCTGCTACCGTTGATAATAACATGGCGCTATTCGGTTTAAATCTTTACCCATGACAAGCGGCGCAATTCCAATTTACAAAGCACTCTTCTACAGCGGACCCGAAAACTATTCGCTAGCTACTCAGCGTTCAGATCGGCGCTGGTATAGCTATTTGCCGTAACTGCAGTGCTTTTCTCTCAGTGTTCCTGTTTTTAGCAACATCAAGAAGTCTTGCCAAAAACATGATGCGCCATATACAGAGAGCACATGTATTTTTTCTTTGCTCTATTTGTAATAATATGTTTGTACTTTTTAATGCGCTGTTCGATAGTAGAAATCGGAGAATAGTGGGCGCAGGAGGAACTCCGCTGTTGTTTCTAGCAGCTAACTATAGCAAGCATGACTGAGGTACCTCTTTGAAACTGCTAACGTTTTTCGGACACATTTACCCCATTATGTTCTTAATGAATAATACACTCGCAATAAAACACGCTGACAGAACCCCACTTACATTGGCACCATCTGCAGCTATTCCAGTCTAGAGCCTCTAGAAGTAGCTTGTATGCACTCAAATTTCAGGCGAACAAAAAAAGTGATTTTTACAGAGGGTAACAACTGGAATGCGATCTCGCAACAGGAACTAGGATTGACTAACAACAATGAAATATATTACTGAAAGCTAACACAAGAGGCAAAATTTTCTGCTTCACCGCAACACGTAACGACGACAACTACTACGCGGTAATAGCCATAACAGCACAACAAAACGGCCCTTCAGGCGTTACCAGACAAATAATTCTCCGTCCATAAAAACAATAGATTTTCAGATCAATCAAGCGCGACGATTTCTTGGTGCGGCACAGGTCATCGCAACGAACGTGCAGAAATCATTTGCTGTTGCCTGTGACTAGAGTACGAGCAACTGAATCTATGTTGTATTAGTATAGACACTACTGCGACTTATTCGGATGGCACGTTGTTTTTATATATCAATAGCAAGGATCCAATATTTTGTTGGTAAGCGCCATAATACATGACTGCATTACGCGCACATGTGTCGTGACACGGTCCAGGCTACTTCCTTCTTAGCAGTCTTCCCATTATGCTCAAGCCGACATCTTCTCTGCGACCAATGATATCACACTCATTGACACTCGGGTGTACGCACTCCGCTGTTTTCTTCACCCGTTGCCCCTATAGAACTGTAGATTATACGTAGGACATACACGACGACCGGTACGGAAACGCTTCACTATCCGCTACATGTTCGTCCACCATCTTGGAGTGGCAGGCAATGATTGCAGTGATTCGTAACGCTGTGTTTTCTTTCGTTCCACAGGAGTTTTTGGACGAGTACTCTTATATTAGGTCTAACAATAACCTCGTTCAGATGAGAGCTCCGCCCGTTATATTTTTGAAACATGTACTACCAAAGGCCTTCTGACCCAACAACGGACACCGTAAGGCACTCGAAACGTGTCTTTTATTCCGTGCCACGCTAAATCACTGAGGCTGGCTGCTGTTAGCGATTCGGTGCTCAGCTTGGAAATAGCTCTACACACTATATCAGACAAGGACGAAACTTGCCTTGCTATACATGCTGGCTGGCTATGCTGATTTTTGCTACTCGTTGGTACATAGTTGCGCGCGAGTTTCTAGAGGCCTATGAAGTCACCTAATAACGTTGCAGTAAAATAGTTGACGAAGTAGTTGCGAATCGTTGACATTTTCTAGAAACGCTTTGAACCTAAACAAGAACCTGACGCGCTTTAGTAGAAACTGCTTTTTCAAGGTAAAAACGTACAGGTTTTCATAATCTCGTCGGGGCCACGCATAATATTCACTCGTATTGGATTGTGTTCGCCGTAAAAACCACTTCAATAGATGGATCCTGAATTTCTGTCACGCCTTTCTAATATCGACGGCGCTTAACGGGTTTATGATAACGGTGGATTCGAGCCAATATTGGGAAGGACGACGAATAAACGTTTGCTCGTTACAACAAACAGCCCGCTAAAGTTTGTTCCAATTCATACGCCATGCCCTATACCTACATATATACGTGTGTGTACCTTATTTCATAAAACGCCACGAACAAACAGACATGATAATTAAGCGCAAATATCAGCCTGTCCTATGCTCGACGATCTATATATATATATATATATATATATATATATATATATATATATACACAATACAAGCGATACCAAAACGTGCAAAAATAAATAAAGCTATATATATGGCGCGTTGTCGTTTTGCTTTGTCTTTCCAAGTTTGCTTTTTGCTTTGTTGCCTCTAAGTTGTGTGGCATTCGTGTTAAATGGCTGTTACGATTAAATACGACCAGTATATTACATTACCCACAGGTGTATGTATCGCGTGTTTAATGTCAATACATAGCTGGGGGCATACTGTTATAGTTATTTCACCGTCAATTACGTTTATCGTGCCAAGACTGCCATCAAGATTGCGACCCTGTCAGCCATTGCTATGGATGAATAATGACGCCGTGCTTTTGAATGTGTTTGTTTCGTTTGTATTAGATGTGTATACACAGGCCTATATGACATATATAACACTGCGTCGTACTACACAGACCGGTGGAGTCATCGTGATAAATAGTGGAAATATCTAACATGTTGCTTTTCTGCGGCAAAGCCAGATACTGCAGTCGTTGAGTATCACCGATAAGATGAGCCTTACCTTCTATAATGTTTTTCTTATATTTGATCCGATGCCAGTGGTGCTTTAGTTTTACATTGCTGGATTATACATGTATTTGAAAAGTGCCTAATAAAATCAGGCGCGACATACTTATGGCCTAAAAGCTCGTGTTATCCTCATCGGATTATAGCAGATATTCTATTGTGGTTCGCGTGTATTCCCCCGCACGTACCGTAACTATAGGGTTTAGCACGACCATGCAGGTACGATATTACCAACGAATTAAATTTTAAAAAAAAAAGCGCAAAGAAGTTATCGGTTGCGATTTCGTTTTTAACGTTGTCACAGCTATAGGGCATTACATTCGATATCAAACTTACGGGATGATGACGATCTGACTCATATAAACGCACACAGATAGATAGATGGAGTGCAACACATTTATGTACTAGTGCCCTTCTATGATCGATAACAGCACATTACTATCAAGTACGGTAGTCGTTATCCGTTACCGTCAGTGCTGGGCAATATTGTCAATGAGCTAATGTAATTGGTTCACTATTGAAGAGAAACAATACCGGCAAATCTGGTATCGTATCAACGAACAGGCATACGAAAAGCTATCAATTGAGAGCACTTCTCAAGGGATTGTTCACATTTCCGTTCATTAACAAAAAAAAAAAAAAAAAAACAAAAAAAACTAGACTGGTTTTAATGACCTACGTAATGATTGTGGGTGATGATAGAAGTGACATCAAGACGAATCGTAGGATGTATGTAGGAGTAATCTTCCAAATATAGGATAGAAGAATTACCGTAGCACCCGACAAACCAGAGTGACTACATCGCTTGATGTTGTCAGTAAATTAGATACGTGCGTGCGTAGCGTAGTTTACTATGACACGAGACTTTAACTTAAGGCAAACGGACAAGCAGTTTTAAGTTTGAAATATATTATAAGGCGTATACGTCTCTAATATTCCTTTACACATATGCTGATAACAAAGTTGAGAAAATAAAGTCGTAATTCCCAACTTATGCAGCAATGATCAATCTTCAACACAGATTTTCATCGCCTTCCTAAAAGCCACTAGGGGGCCCACAATTGGCGATCTAGCAATGCAGTTGACATAAATGTATTATGTATTTTACGTATCTAACAGAACCTGTAGTAATCAAACAGTAGCATGACCGCAGTAACTGCAGTGTGTGTTTTGCCGAATCTGGTACTGATCCTGCTTGTGTTGCTGGGCCTTTCAAAGGCGTTAACCGAATCCTACAGTTTCTATACAGAGAGGAGGCCTGGTTATCCGTGTCAGCTAGGAACTGCGAGAAACAAATGCGAAACACAAACGAGACGCAGGCGCCACTTCCGATACTAACAGCTTACAGCAATTTATGTCAGTCTGTCAGCGGAAGCGCTAACAGTCAGACCGTGCGGTACGATGAGAGGGTAAAAGCCATGATGCAGTGACCAAGATAGGTTAAGCTTCATTAGGTGTTACGTATAGCCGTCAATTCTTCCGAGAAATTCTATACACGAAAAAAAATTGCACGCTGGACAGCCGACTACCATTTTCTTATGCCTAGGGCAGTGTGAGAATATTGATGGGGACAAAAATCCCATTGGTTATCTCCTTGGCAAATTGTCACGAAGCAGCCCAAGGCTCATGGTATACATGGCTTCGGTCAGCCCTGGGGAACTCCTTTGGCCGTTGAGGGTTGTTAATGCTGCCATATGACTTAATCTTCCACTCCATACCAGAAGAGAATTGTATCGGGCCGATTTTTATCGTAATTTCAGACTACTTGAAGCAGGTAAAATCTCAACAGGTAATAAATTATGTATATATATATAATTTATTACCTGGTATAACTGTTGCATGAGAAGCTCAAGGAAAAGGCCTCAGGCAAAAAAGATATTAAGTTAATCGTGCAATTTCAATGATGTTCGGGTCGTGTTTGCCGCTGCTCTGTTTTGACGAAAGCCAATTTACTTGAGCTACTCTTATGACGTATGCTACTTTCAAATGGTGGTAATGGAAAGGTAAAATAAGAATTTTTGTACCGTAACTAATGGCCACCTAAAGGTACGAGTCACGTTAGAAAGAAAAAAAAAGCCGGAGGGGCTGCAAAACAGTGGCCTTTGATTCATCCAAAAAAAGATTGAGCCATCCTCTTCATTATTGCTTTCTAACCTGTTAAAAGGGGAGCAATCATTTAATAACAACATAACAATTCAATATCACGACAAATACGACCAACCTGCACCCCATCTTGAATTGATACGATGGAGGGACCGCGAGGTTTCTTCCACGCGTTAATATGTACACTGACAAGTGGTTTGAGCTCGGCTGGTTATCACACAGCGTCTGCTGTTTTTCTATGGACCAGCGAGAGGCGGCACTACTTCGTACGGTGTATTGTTGTTTGAAGAGTAAAAATATAGTTGAGTTTTTTTTATCAATCATCGTCCCTCGTGTTCACTTCAACGGCGTTCACAGCAACGGCAATGAACATATTATGATAGACTAGAAAGCTTTGAAATATTATAACACCAATTTTAGATCATAACATAGATGATGCGCCTGATTTTAGAATGTCACCAATATTAAGATATATTTATTATTAATAACGAATATTTGTTATGAATTAAAGCTTATCCTTTTAGTCGGTACTTGCATTTTTTAAGACTTGCTGTTTCTTAACCTCTGCTTTATTAATTATTTCTGTAAAATATCTCAGTGTGTGCTTGGTACGGCATGCTTTACTGCAATGATATGTGATCAGCTTGCTACGTTCTCCAACATGTGCTTATATAATGTGCACATGTGCTTATGAAACAACGTTACCTGAAGTAAAAAAAAAGGGGTTTCGTTTCAATAATTACAAGCACAAATGACAATTATGGATCAAAAGAGACATATCAGCAGGATTATGGCCTTCGCTGCCGCTCATCGCAGAGGGCTGAACTTTTATTTTGAATCCATAATTTTGGATCGAACGACGATTCGGTAATGTAACTATCACTCTGCTATATTTCGACTCGCTTCAAGAGATCTCCTATTTCTACCGCTGTTGCAGGGTCTATCGTTGAGAGGAGGCCCTTAGGTATGATGAGGGTGAATCCCTATGCTCACTAACCCGTAGCCAAAACCGAACAAACGGGTCTACAATAGACATTCGACGATGCGATGGGGCCCCTCATCGGTACTGTCTTTCCGGAGAAAGAAGGAGAAGGCATACAACTGAACGTACAAGCACTGCAATAACATATCCAGTGTGATCCCTGGCACCGGCCGTCCTGTTCATCGTCACTGTGTGACGATGAAGTCTAAGGGACGCTGAATGCCCGCAATAATAGTTCGTTTCATCGAGACCTGATCCTACTCTAGTCGGGGGATAGGCTGATCGACTTCCTGGCACGATTCCAGAAGAACCATCTCTGAAAAAACCAGAGCCGGCCATTCATATAGCTTCTATTACATTATATAGCGGCAATCAGAGTAAGGTTGTGATTTGAATATCCAGGGAAGGTCTATATGCATTAAAACTGATCGAAATCGAAAAGCTCATTTATTATATGAGTTCCCGTCTGCTGACTTTACTAGAGCACAGTAAACGAATGATGTCGTTTTCTGTGTTAGGATATTTGAGTCGCCCCGCAATAAAGTCATCTTAGAACTGCCTGCAAATATACGTATGTAAATAACAGAATTTAACAGCCGCTAATTTTGACAAGTGCGCATTTCGTGCAATAGCGTATTAGATAGTATTTTCTTTTTATGTTCCATTCGTTCGATGCATTATCGTTCCAGCTAAAATGCTAAAAAATACAAAGGCACTGTGCACGCCGTGTGTTTGTATGTATTTTAGCCTCAGAAGGTATGGAGACACTGTGCCCGTGGGATCGAAGGTCGTTCAGTGGTACGGCGGCATCATCAAATCCAAGTCGGCTCTAAAGATTCACGCTATAGAAAGATCCTTTCTCATTAGCACGGTTGTGCGTGGGAGGCTTCCATAACAGTTTTCATGAATAACATAAAGGTCTTCGTTAACTTTGGCGTTCCCGTAGCGGCGATGATTACGGCCGCTATAGGGGACCTTCATAGGCTAAATGTTATCTGAATCGTGACATTGGTGGCAGGTTTATGGCACATAAACGTACATACATAGCCATTGTTCTTCTTCTTTTTTTTTCTTCTACTGTTTGGTGTGCTACTAATAGTGGAGTGATAATCTATCGTAGTGAAATAGAAAACTAGAGCAATTTATACATAATATTTTTAGATACTTGAAGAAACATCAATGAGGTGTTTTCTGTATGTTGTGCTAAACGAAATCATTTTTATTCAACACTTAACCAGTACTTCTTCTATTCAGTAGCATTTAGCAAGGAAGCAACCGCAAAAACTAAGACTACCAGATAATAGATTGATTATGTAGGGTCTATAAATTCCCCATTAAAGATTTGGCACTACACCTACTACTAGGGTAAAAAAGTGAGTAGGTTTCTTTTGTGTTGCTTATGCATGAATTAGGTTCGCAGGGTTCTAACGAGCTACGTTTAGGGAATTAAGAGATACCAAATGACAATATTTTCAGAACAAATCGTAATCAGAGATATTCGCTATAGCTGATACAGGAACCGGACTAATTGATATGTAACGAAAAGAAAAAAACTAACCAAGCAAAACATATAAGCGCTTTTAAATAAAATTCTACGTAATAATTCACAGCATTAAACCACTGACCAGCTCGACGAGTAGGAATAAACCACTTTTGGAGCAGCACTCCTCCTTATGAAACGACACGGCCATCTTCGTTAATTTTAGAGTTAGGTTTCGAGAAAAGAAGTGTTAAGACACACAGACTTGTTGTTGCTGTTGTTATTGCTAACAGTGCGAGCGGTTAGCAGCTGCCAAACTCTAACGTGGAATACGCGCGATCCCAAAAATTCGCGCACTTTTCATTCATCCTTAACAACCCGCACCCATCCGCCTCTTGCGCGCCCTTTCTCTCCTCTCACTTATCTCTCGCCCATTAAAAACAAGAAAACAACATCATCCTCCGCATTACCATCACCGTGACCATGATCATCATCATCATCGGCGGCAGCAGCAGCGGCAGCAGCAGCGGCATCTAACGATTGTCGAATATAATGTCATGTTTTACCTCCTATAATATGGCGCCCGGCAGCATCATTTTGGCTCCATACTGGGCGAGCCATCGCAGTCCACAATTGAGAGAGTGCGAGACTACTGGGAATGGAGGATAACTCTAGGGCAATGCCAGCAGCGTTAGACGTGAACATCAGGATAGCTCCCAGTTCTACGGGCGACTGAGGAGTTTAATCGGCTGGGATACCATCGATGATGACACAACACTGACAGATCAGTGCAATCGGCATAGTAGACTGAACCTTGCCTGCTGGAGATGATCAGCTGGTAACTATTGCGCATTCGCATTAAATTCAGCATTGTTAAGTCGTTTATATTTGCAGTTTCTTAGTACGAGTTCCGTATATAGAATACGGGAAAGTATACGCTGATGTACGATCGCTATTGCTCCTATAAAATAAGCTGCATATCTTTTGCATAGTCTGAGTGCAGCAGATCCGTGCTTTACTATACATTGAATAGCATTACGTACGATCTATTTGTAATCGTAGGTAGAACAGTTTTTCACTGTATGCCCGCAAATATTCAATGTCTTTTCGGCATACGCATTTACATGTGATACATAGATACACTGTCTAGATAGATGTAAAGTATAGGCTGTGGTGTATTACTTATGCCAGCTTCCGTCACCCGATGGTGGCCGTGAACGAAGTTTTCTCAAACGCATCGGCCGTGAAGGTTTGTTTCTGTTCATAATTTCGCGGTGGCTCCGAAACAGCAGCTAGCATTATGTAACATCAACATGTTAAACAAAATCGAACACCTACAACTCCTGGATAGAGTAAACTAGCTAAGTCAAACTATATTGTTTCTACAAAAAGAAATGGTTGTCAAACCATTTTTTTTATGTAGAGTATGTTAGCTCGGTACAATTAAAAACAAAGCATAAGCGAAAATCAGCACAATTTATTCATCGTCTTATCGACTGCACGGATGCATGTTGGAGAATGAAGGAGCGTCTATGCGCACGTTCGTACTCAGACTATCTCTTATGTTTTTTCAGTTAATAGTAAAACGAGTTATTTTAGCATTATGGCGAGAACTCGAGATCTTCAGACAATTGCAGCAACCGTGCGGAAACTTACCACGAAATGCTTTGGCTGTATCACACGTGTCGGCCATTACCAAATAGATGTATCGTTTTGAGTTGTCGTTTGCAAATTATGTTTTCACACATTTCACTGTAATTTACTGTAAAGACATGATTGTTTAATGAGCATCCGTGGATTTTTATCGTTTACCATTGAGTTTCGTACGATACTCCGTTGCGAAGGTTCCTATAGACTGCACAGGACCAGGGGCGTCTATCTAGGGGGATGTCCACTGCAGGATCTGGGGTGTCTAAACCACACGATGAAACGTTCTTTTCTATCGAAATTTGACATACGTTCGATGTAAAGACCTCCACACCGGTTTTCTAAATTGGACTAGTATTTCGGTATGATTCTCACTTCCTCACCAAGAAATCACTAACTTTTGACCGGATGTCAGCAGTTAGAGGCGTCAACTTGAAACTTATTGCTCGCATCATTATCAGCTCATAACCTTTCCTATAGCTCAGTTTATTTGTTTCTAGCGAGCGACGTGTTGAACTTTACAATGTGGAATATGCTTATTATGAACATCTTTGTAGTTTGTTTATGAAGGCAGAAAGGATAGTAACGAGGCAAGAGGTCTAAGCATTAGATTTTTGAGACTAATTAGATTTTTGTATATGGTTTTTTTACTGGATTTCTTAAATAAGTATTTTTCCTTTTGTTTTGGATTCGCCCAGAAATGATCTTACCGGTACATTATTCAAGTAACGTTTCGATTTATATATATATTTAAATTGGATGCTTTGTCAGTAGAAGATCTATATATTGCATTAACTTCTAGGGTTGTATTCTTTGTTCTTATTATCGTCCCTATCCAGTCACAGTGTCCAAGTTCTTTCCTTATAATATAATTAACTTTGATGTTCTGTTTGATAAATGGTGCTATAGCACCTGCTCTGTATTTTGTTGAGTAACAGAGCAACAAACTATAGTGCAGTGTCCATTTTAATAAGCTAAGATATATCAAAAGAACATCAATAGCAAACGTCGCCATATTATGCTGGAATTTTACTAATGGCCACATTCATTGGACCTTGAACTGGAAACTCGAACACACATATGATGTAATCTTGGCCAAACGTTAGAAGGGCCATACATTACGTATTTGGGCAAAACAATAGTTACTGTATCACCATTCAGTAAACAAACCAAAAAGGCCTTCCGCTTTATGCGGAATCATAATGAATTCCAGATGTATTTAGACAAAATCGTCAATGAAGCTTTTTCATAACGGGAACACTCACGTACGTTTCACAAACCAACCGAAATTAATTTATCGGCAGTATCTATTTAAATAAAATGAGATAAAATACCTAACAACCGTACGGTGAAGGCACAGCGCCTTATTGCATCAAGAACCGTACATAGGACTGCAAACCAGCCGTGACATCTCACTTCAGACCTCCTGCCATTCAATACAATAACAGTCCAGAGTTTGTGGACTGAAGGAGCATATTAGGTAAAGGATTTTTATATCTGAAAGGAGTATAGCGGCATATCGGTATTGGACGTGATAATTAAAAACTGGCCATTGCCCGAAAATTTGGTTTAGCAAAAAATTGACTTTTCTTGATCGTTTGCGCAAGCTAGAAAGCGTCCCTGTGATTGATCTTTGTATTCGTAAAAAACATTTCCTTATCGCTAAAGAGTTCAATGTCAAATGGCCAGACCGATCAGATCCTTTGACATTGTTGTCCTTAGAAAAACTCTCACTGGCTTTGATGGTACAGGATTTGTACTTGAGGATTTTGCAAATAACTCGAACCGCTGCATTAACAGCCATCTAAGTTTCATCTACGTATATATATATATATACACAAATTCTAAAAAATGCATTTTAAGGGTCTTTTTTAATTAGTCGTGGATTTCGTACAGTGGGTCTCTTGCCGTGTCGTCCTTGTTTTGATTCATCGGAATCTGTTTGTTTTTTGGCAGCAAGGCAATGAGTTGATTGTGGTGAACCGTCAATTGATGCCAGGGAAATTTATAGTTTCGGTGGGAGCGCGGAGCCATTAAATGAAACTGTCATTAGCTTATATATATATTGGAAATATCAGTGGCGCTGTTAAATAAAGGAATAATTTATATATTTCTATGACCAGCTTCAGAGTAATGTAATACTATTACAGGCTTTTTTTTGTATATTAAGACTAGCAGATCAGCAATAGCTAGTACCAATTTATCTTAAACACTTCGTCGAGCCTATATTAATCTCTATAAGTACGTTATTATGCGAAAGCTGGACCAGGTTTATAACTTCTATTGCGGCGAACATAACATGATTAGTAGCTTGTTTGTATTTTGATTTTCGCAAGACGTCCAAAGCGGGTGCTAGATTGCTCGTTCAGTCTATCTAGGACCCCACGAGTCTTTTTCGCTGTATTTATCCTTATCCGCAAACGAAATTTGGGATTAAGGTAATCCGTTACGAATTATTTAACGGCTATAAGAACGCGAAGCATTGCCGCTCAAGTGTTCCAGGCACTTATTAGCTTGAAATTACCAAATCAATATGAAATCCTTTCTCCGACTTTACTATGCAGTTTTCATACAAAAACACGTAATCAAACATCCATACCGAATATTTAGCTGCTGTAAGAAGAGCTTTCGTTAGACATCGATTCATGGGAGGCCGAGCATAATTAGTGACAAATTTTTCCATGGCTCAATTCAATAGTGTAGAACAATCGATAACAAGCCCTTTTCGAACCCACTAGCCCAGCCAGGCTTTGATTACCTCGTCATAATACTCGCGTACACACACCTGTGAATCGGACATTATTACTATTAATAGATCTGTGTTCGTGTATTTTACTTTACTAGACTCGTTTACTTTTGTTTGCCGGCTCAGAGACTTGACTCACCAACTCAATAAGTAAAAAAAGTCCACCACGTGAACAGCACTCATCCTTATGAAATGATACCGCCATTTTCTTGAGGCACAACCAACACGCGATACGATAGCGGAGCTTTTCGAAAGCCATCTGAAACCAGTAACACTCATGTTCGTGGGGTTGCCCCTGACGGCTGGCTACGTTTCGAACAAACATTAAACAGCATCGGAAACGTTGGGAAGAGAATATCGCGAGGGTTGCTTTACATAAAGTGAGTGCTCCGTGTGCTGAAGGTAACAGATGACTCTCGTGAACAGCCAGAAGAACAATAACAACGAAAGGAAAAGTAGGATTTTTGTTTGCTCAGTATAGATTAGGGTACTGCGCAAGACTTGATGTATCCGAAAAATCCGATTTGTAATAACCCAAGAAGATACCATGTGTAAATGGGTAGTACGTGTCGTTGAATATTACGGATCTTATTATTTTCTCAACGAGCTCGTGAGTGCCAAGCGTTCTCTCTTAGCTAGCAGCAAAATTCTAGTTTAAATTGCTCCTTCTGCATCCATTTGCTTGTCCCGGTAGCGCACAATAGTATAGACAATGTAAAGACACGTTTATTTGAAGCAAAGGCAAACTGAGACATCTTTATCTGATGAGTCGGTGACACATGCGTACAACACGATTTGTCTTGACAGAAAAAAGAAGTTACTCTTGTGTTTTGAGAATCAAGTGGGGTTATAATTAATTATCATTCGAATAACTTCTGTTGTCGAATAAGATTTGTTATCACAATAGCAAAATTAAACCGATTCAGGCAACTTGAATCGAGGAGCTT